AAATAGTTGCTCGAGATTCAAGCTTAGTTTACAGATGGATAGAAGATTAGTTTTCCTGACTAGTTTTCCAAAGACAAGTAGATTATGACAAAAAATCTACAACGTCGCAAACGGAGACTTGTAGTTCCACACTTTGGCCATCCATAATCCATATTGCCGAGGTTGGCGCTTCATTTTTTTTTTGAAGAAAGAGAGATCGGATGTCCTATTGGCTAATTTAGGCAGGGGGTACGGCTTATGGAAGCAAATTTAAGGATGACGAAAAAAATACCTACACGGAGGCAAGCGGGTACATTTTCAAAGCATTTACACATAATAATAACCCCAAGCTAAATAGATAAATAAAACAAAAATATGCAATAAAATAAAAAAAAGTCGTCTCTCCGATAAAGAAGCAACGGAAAATTGTAAATCAGCCTTAGATGGAAGTGGAAAAATGTGGGCCCGCACAGGTGGCAAAAATATAAAGTCTTTTCCCCTTAGTTATCCCCTCCATGATCCCCTATTTTTCGGTACAATTCGTCATTTCTCTCACAATACGTAACTATTTCAATGTCACCAGAAATCCCCTCAAAAATGGAACAATCTCGGGCATTTCTAACCGAGGTTTACCCTGATTTTTCCTCTGACCTCATGCAAAAATCAGAAAAAATTTGGACAAAAACTGCATACTATTACATACTTGTAAAACATTGAATTTTTTGGTCAATTTTGCAACATTGGAATGAAGTTACGGAACCGCTTCCGGGAAACGAATCACGATCGATGTTAGTGGGGGGTTTTTTCAAAGATATTCTGAAGTTTTATAATACACCCCCCCTGCCTACCCTCCCCCCATCAATAAGATTTCAGCCTCCCTAAGATCTAGTTGAGTTTTTGCTCTGGTTCATGGTTAATAGGCTTTATTCAAATGTTGTAGGTATTAATTCTTAAGGTTAAGGCAGTGAGCCACCGAAATGGCCGTCAAGCCGTTGATTCTGGGCGGAAAGCTCCGATATTCCCACGTGGCGGATTCGTGCCTGCACTTTTAGTCTCTTGAAACTTTTGTTTTCTCGCAAGAGAATATTACGTAAAGCTCGCTCCAAATTAGTTAGCTAACCGCTAGAGAGGTATACTGCCGTGCTAAGGAAAAGCGCCGTATGAACATTCAAGAGTTGCCAAATTTCCTCTATAGAAAACCGAATCTACTGGAAAAATTATAAATATTTTTTCCCAGAATTTTCACACAATTTTGTAAGCAATTTGATCTAAAATATCTAAAAATTTCTACGGAAAATATACTTAAATTTCACCAAAAATACATGTTTTATCGAGGGAAATTTGGCAACTCTCGAATGTTCTTACGGCGTTTTTCCTTAGCACGGCAGAATAAAAGACACTTAATCTTGCTCCTCGCACCGAGCACCCATGCAGAACAGAGGCGTGGCGTGAATTGCGATGTATCGATTGTTATGCCATTTAAACCTATGGTAAAGAATCGATTATTAAGATGTTCGCTGCGAACACCCTGTCTATCAATCCTTTTCTATGGGTTCAAATGGCATAAAAATCGATATATCGCAAAGCACGCCACGCCACTGATGCAGAAAATGAGGATACAGATCCTTCGTCGCTTTCAAATGGTCAAGGAACATTTTTTTCGTGTGCTCTAAACCTTCCCGTAAGAGAAGAAATGTTGTCTTATACTCGTCAATGCTAAATAGGCTTCAAGCATTGGGGAAATTTATAGAGCAAAGAAAGAATATGTTGACTACAGTCGTGACGTCCCGGTATTTATGAGAGATAACGGAGACTTCATCACAAATATTACGCAGGAGGCTCGCTTAATGTGAGTCAATATTTTAATCGAAACGTTATATGCATGCGTTTGTTGTCTCACCTGAGGCCCGAGTGATCGCATAGAATGGTCTCGTTTTTCTAGAATTACAGAAAGTAGGAGATAAACAAAATATTTCTTTGTCTACTTTATGTCAACACATCCATAATTTCTACGATAGGAACAAAACCAACAACCCGTGCACGCTAGTGCATCACCGATGATGCAGTGCGTAGTGCGTGGTAAGTGCAGTATCATGCGTGATTCTTCTTGACCTCGTATCACGCAAATATTTGAGGGACCTACGGTATTGGAAAAAGGAACCTTAATTACTCGTTTTATTCATTGTTTGAGCACTTTAGAGAGGAGACTTTTCGAATGGAATAAGGTCGTAATCCATATTAATGTAGTCCTTACAGTGGGATCACGCTGAACTCCGGAATTGAACAGATTATTTGTCTTCAGGGCCCGAGCGCTAAAATTTCAGATTTTAACTTTTTGGCAGATGGTTGCGACAATACAAGTAGATGCATCAATTCATCATATGCCAGGGCGACAGGTTCGAAAGCCTGCTTTTATTCCTCCGAATTTTGCCAATTTTTTTGTTTAACATGATTCTTATTTAGGCTCATGCGCAGGGGCAGAAAGTATGAGATCCTTTTCTTGGCTGAAAAATTCAAAATCGGGCAAGATTTTTGACCTAATAGATGTGATTTATCGCATGCCAGTTCGACCACGTCAGAGAGCTTGACGAATCACCGTAAGAATAAGATTCGGTTCAATTGTAGACTCACCTCTCCCTCGTCAAGCAACCGTCATGAAGGTGAGCTCCCTCTTCAAAAATTATGCAATGCTCTGCTGGACACCCCTTTCCTTTAATGGTGAAATTAAGAATTTTTTGTCAATATTTTTGTGAATCGATTTTTTTTTCTTTTTTAAAAAAGAAAGGAGAGCAGAGTGGTGCCAGACTTCAATTTTTTGCGGGACGTCACGCAATTCTAGACCATCTCCCACTATCCCGTCAGCCCGTCACGTTGTAGTACCGACATCGCTGCCCCGACGGTGAAACTACCAAACCACGTATCTCGTTTGCGGTGTTTAAAAATCTACGCTCACATTTTATTTTTTTGAAGTAGACCAAATCAATATCATTCCTTGAAATTTTCACGGAATTTTCTCCGCACAAAGAGGAAAAATCACAGAAATTTTCAAGACTGGATGTTAAAGTAGTTTTTCATTTAAAAAATAAAGTATGACAGGAAGTCTGCGACGTCGCAAACCGAGATACGTGGTTTGGTAGTTTCACCGTCGTGCCCCTTCCCTCCGCCACACAGTAGATCGAGCCAATTAGAGAGGTCGGGCATGAAATGTGCCACTAAAACTGCAAATTTTTATGTATTTTTAGTCGCATTTTACATTTCAAGGGGTGCTTTACGAAGATAATTTTACCAGGAAACCAATGAAACTACATTTAGAACCTCAAAGTTTTGTATAAACGGAGTTATAAACGTTTAAAGTTTCCAAATTTTGTCCGACCTCCCCCATTGACTCGATCCATGGTGCGCCAGTGCGTGACGGCCTTCAATTTATGAACGGCCTTCTGCATTCGTAGGGGCCCATTAAATCATGTTGGCAAGTAATGCTCCGTTTTTGGACCCTCCTCGCCCTGCAATTAGCAATTTATTTAAACAATGCATTTCTCAGAAAATTGGCAATCTCTCGATATAAATCAACGACGGTTTACTTCATCGGCACAACAGGCAACGCTGGAATTCAGCAAGAGAGTCACTCAAAGCTTCAGTAAGTGTCGCATTCGACAGATACTAAACGAAGTTCATTGTAACGCCTGGATGCAACTATTCGGGCTCCATGAATGTCAGTGTTGCATATCGACGGTGAAACTACCAAACCACGTATCTCGTTTGCTGTGTTTAAAAATCTACGCTCACATTTTATTTTTTTGAAGTAGACCAAATCAATATCATTCCTTGAAATTTTCACGGAATTTTCTCCGCACAAAGAGGAAAAATCACAGAAATTTTCAAGACTGGATGTTAAGTAGTTTTTCATTTAAAAAATAAAGTATGACAGGAAGTCTGCGACGTCGCAAACCGAGATACGTGGTTTGGTAGTTTCACCGTCGATATGCACGTAATTGAAGGCGTTTTGATTTCAGACACTAACCGCCTCACCAGCGGCGCTCAGAGGAGAAGGTCAATGGTAAGAGTCGGACAAGATATGGAGACATGAAAAGCTCATGTATATTGATGTAGTACGGAACGTAAGAAGTTTTAGAGGTGGTTTCTTTGATTTTAACGTAGAATTCCCTTCAAAGAGCACCCGATCCAATACTTTTTATTGGGAAGAAATTAACATCGAAATTGGCAGTTATAGTGGAAAATTCCAAGTCCAGCCTCTCTGAAAGGCTAGTTTTATTGTGCGGCGGGCTTTACTGCGAGGATCTAAGGGTGCCTTCAATTCCTCATTTATACTTCGGATACATCTCTTGAACATATGAAAAGTTGCTCTACAAATCATGCTCAGCACATTACGATATCAAAACTGAAGCACAAAAGATATACTCACATCCCATACCCACATACAATTATTTGTGCCTACGAGTTATCTTTGAAGTATACCGAAACAAAGAATTGAATGCATTCAGCCACTTTAGATCACTCTAGATCCTCGCGGTAAAAGACCGCCTCTTCCGCCGCGTCACGGGTGAAGCGGCGGCTCGGTGAGTGCCCGGACAGTCAAAACGCCTTTACTTCCGTGCGTATGCAACACGGACATCCGTGGGGCCCGAATAGTTGCATCCAGGGGTGAATGACCGCGCACAGCAACAAAGAGAAAACCGGACTATAGCGCCAAGATGCATCGCCGCAATCGGAAAGAAAAACATCGTGAGAATCAGCCTAGTAGTTCGCCGATCACCCTAACATGAAAAATCGATTCTTTTTAAATACGTAGATTACCCAGATAGATATAATGGCCAAAGCAGCCAAAGCTATACGTGACACGATGATAATCAGTCAAAACGGTCTAATGACGAATTTTCCGTGTTCCTTGCCTAATTTTTCACGACTGAGTTAGATATGGAACATGGCAATGGACAGCCACATGTTTATATCCTCCCCCCCCTTTTCCCTGTTATCTATATAGGTTAAGTTTCGAGCATTTTTTCTGAGAGGACGAAGTGACAAACTAATAAAGTTGTAAACTTCTAGAAGTTATCATTGCAGTTGACAGTCCGTGGTCCGTGCATGCTGAATTTCACTCGTTCCATGAATTTTATACTTGTGTTTTCGTTTCCACACCCACATCAGTAGTGTCTCCTCACTTTTTTGTTCCTAGCTTGAAAATGCTAACTTTCAAAGTCGCTTCGTCATGAAGTTAGTGGAATACATAATGAAGAGCATCGACTGAATTATAATGAATTCGATTCTGTGCTTTTTCTTTACCCTCAATCGATCACATTCATTAATTATTTTGTCATCAAAGGAACCATTTATTCCAAATGGCTGAGAATGATGTTTTTCATATCGCCTCACCTACCTCATCGTCTCTAAGTCCAATTTATGACTACGTCACGGAAGTAAGTCTCCTTTGAATCTCTGGGAACCTAGTTTTTATACTTTTCCTAATACACTATTGTATGGATGAGTCATAGTTAGTCTAGAGATAATCCTCTCTAAACTAGATACTGCAACAAACTTCACAAATTTAAGTAATTGGAACCATATTGTATTCTAAAAATACAGGCTATCTCTTACAAAATACTGTTTTCCAGGGAGTCAGAAAGTACCTAAATGGCTTGATTTCTGTGCTCTGACAGTTTATTTTGTGTAGCATTCCTGCTTTGCAGTGATCCCAAGTGTGCGGATATATCCTTGCTGTGTGGATCTTCACTATACTGGCACGGACCCAAAGCTTATAGGGCAACGCTTCCCTATCCCAAAATATCCGTATGCAAGACGTCACAGATCAATGGAACAGCCAATAGCAGCACATGGAGTGGCACAGCGTATGGATTTTGCACACAGAACATCCAGGAACGCTGCTGCTTTGCCTCTTGGTCGAAGTTTCTAAATCTCTTGGGGGAACACAGAAAGTTTCAAACTTTAGGACATTTGCCATGATGTAGCTCTACCAAGTTTTCCTTTTTGTCGACACCTCCAGTATTGACTTAAGTTTTGACTAAGTTTTCTAACGTTTTACCTGCGTGCCTCAATTCGCTGCAGAATCTTATGATTAAGCTTTTCCTTCACTTCGGGATTTTCTCAAGGTCTAATTAAAATACTGACACATTTGCGCATCTGAGTTTATTAGAGTAAGTGATACCAGGCTGTATTTTAATCAAAATTGTATCCTATTCATCCTGTGGTAAATCATTTTGTTGCATCATTATTATCATATTAATCCTTTGTTTCAGTCCCCTGTTTTGAAAGCCTTTCTGGCAGGATCTCTATCGGGGACATGCTCAGCCATTTTGTTCCAACCTTTGGAGCTGGTGAAGACACGTCTCCAGGCCGACACTGACTTAAAAACATCAAGGTAATATTCATTCACACAATCTTTATTCCTTCTCAAAGAAGAAGGCAGATATTGAAGATTTGTGACTGCTGATGGCCACCATAAAGGAAGGAGGCATATTTTTCAGAGAGTGATTTTTGTTCAGTTGGTCAAATAATTGGAATCAGAATTTTTTTAGGAGGAACACCCTTTGATATCTCAAGGACGAGGCTACAAATTTTTTTGTCCACTTTTAAAATCAGCTTTTTAGCCTCTTGGAGTAAGTAGTGAAGCCATTTTGAAGCTGAGATTATAAGCTGAGATTTGTGTTCAATTTTTACTCTGGAAAACTTTCTGCTCCTCTTAAACACCCATAACACCCTGTCGAGTAGTGGTATCAACATTCTCACATTTTTGAGGCTTTAACGCTTCACTTCCTGTGGATGGTAATATTTGCCCAATTTTCAAATTTGAGCTCTGCTCAGTCAGGAAAAGGTTTGTGAATGCAAGAACCAAGCCATTTCTTGCGCAAAACTTATTTTAAGGACCAGAATTTTCATTGTATCTACACTTAAACCTTTTGTTAAAGCAAGAGGGCACAAAATATGAGGCTTAAATTTTCTGTTTTTTTCCTCGAAGAATGTGTTTATCAACGGTTATAACTTCCATTAGAAGTACGGCAAAAATGAGACCTTGCTGAAATCTGTTCATATATTAAAATGAGGAAGTATTCTAAATTGTCAAAACCTCCATCAGCCTAGAAGAGAGAATGTGATTTTCCAGCTGGTTAAATTTTTGCTCTGCCCGCACGTGTATCAATTCCAACCTCCTAAAGCATGTGAAAAATATTGCTGACATCACCATTCATAGATCAATGGAAAAGTAATAAATTACTCGCCAAACTATCCATTTTATCTACAACTCATTATGCGCTATCTTCTCAGTGCCGGCTGTCAGCTAACCCTATTATTTTCTTGACCCCTTGTATGGGACAAAATATCAGCAGAGCTTAAATTTTTCTATTCTGCCCTCTCGTGCAGCTTGTCCAATAAAACTTTATCAAGTTTCTGAGCAACCTTGACATTGATTTGAGTTTATAGCGGATGTTTGTGTTACCAATTAGGCATCTATAGATAGATGGAGCGAGGGAGGCTTATCTTATGCCTCATCAGACCTCGACATTGCTGGAGAAAGACGCTGGATGCGAAGCTGAAGTGAAGGCCTTTCACTGCGTAGTCACTGTCTCATTTTGCGTCATTTTCCATATTTTAACTGCAATAGTTGCAATTTATTTTTTATATTGCTGAATACACTATTACAGCTCACGGCAGTTGGGGTTAAATACCTATAAATGTTAATCTTTTAATCAGATGAAAAAGAGCTCAAATGTTCACATGATTTTTGAGAGTTGCAGATTGAAAATAAAGTTAAATTTCTATTTTTATTTCTATTCTTATGTTATTTATGTTCTCATTTTCTGTTTGCACAAATGCCAGAATCGTTGAGCAGTCAAACTTTTTTCCCCCTTTCTTCCTAGTACGAAAAGAACCTCTCACCTATCGCAAAATGCAACTTTTTCACCGAAATGCCTTCTAGCTGTAATTATCTCATTTTTAAAAACAGACCCTCTTCTAAAAAATGATTTTATTTTTTTCTAATTGTTTCATGCAGTCCAAAAACCAAAGCTAGTATTTCAAGTATGATCCAAATGGTCAGTCAAATAGTGCGAAATGAGAATCTGTTCACATTGTGGAGAGGCCTGTCGCCGGTAAGTTGATTCTTCCTAGCCCTTTTAAATCACCCTCTTTTAATATTTCACATGCTTACAGTTTGTATTGCAGTTAATAATTATTCAATTTGGAAGGAGGTAATCACATAGATTTTCATCAACAAAATAAGTGTAACCATAAAAAAAAAATTTTGCATTGTAAAATGCTGTTAAATTCATTCCAGTCGAATCTATATGGTTTATCAGTCTAATTTATTTAAATTTTATTAGAAAAGATAGAGAAACCAATTTTTTTAAGGAAGCTGTTTTTTAATCTATTCTTGTGAAAACGGTCTCTCCATTTGCATCTGAGAGACTATTTGGAAAGTAATCATAACATTTATTCCAAGTATTTCTTACATTCAAACCAGATCAAAATACAACCAAAGTTTCGAAAGTGGATACATGTATTTATGTTAGGATAATTTATTTTAAAATTATGCAGAAGATAGTGTTAGCTAGAATCAGTCAAAAATTTATCTCTGTGCTTTTGGATGACTCATTAAATCGAAGAATGTTTTTTGTGTTTAGTCAATCGTCCGCTGTGTTCCAGGCGTCGGGCTTTACTTCTCTTCAATGCACTATATGGTGACAAAGTATGCAGATGGACATCCTTCTCCTGTGGAAGCAATGTTGATTGGTGTATCTGCCCGAACGCTCAGTGCAGCTGTCCTGATACCATTGACTGTCATTAAAACTAGGTTTGAGGTAAATTTACTACTTGTCCATGACTAATTCTCCAGCAGTGCAAAAAATACCCAATCTTGCTATCTTCGGATCGTATTACGTGTGGGGCAAATCTTAGGATATGAGGTAGATCTCGGGATCAAAACAAAATCATTAACTCAGAAAAGAGATCCTAAAAATTAGAGGGTTTAGTGTTAAAAATTAGGCAAATCCTACATTTTTGGTGTGAGGCAGAAACTCCAGATTGCGAACAAGGGTTGGCGATGTGAAACTTTTTGCACTCCTAAAATTCTTACCTAACATCTCTCTTATTCATCTGTCTATTGCACTTCATTTTATCAATTTTCAGTATGTCTTAAAGCAAAAGGTATCAACAAGCCCACCATTCGCTACAAGATATCTTCAAATATTTGCCTCACTGAAACAAATAATGTTTTAAACGAAAATACTTTAATTTATGTGCTGCTGTGCTGTCATGCACTACCCATAAATTGCTTTTTTCAAAAAATGAAAAGGAAAGGAATTTTGATCTGACCAAAATCTTCGTTTACAACCGTACCATGCAAGATTTTGAGAATATGTATACAGGATCTGTGTATGTTGATTAACCTGCACTCATATTTTTTGTATTTCAGAGTGGAGAGTATGAGTACAAGGGGTTAAAACATGGTTTAAGAATGATTTACCACAAAGAAGGTATCAGAGGACTTAGTTGCGGACTATTGCCAACTATTGTTAGGGATGCTCCGTTCTCCGGTCTCTATTTGATGTTTTACTCTCAGATCAAATCACACATCAACTCTAGTGAGTAAATTTTCTCATTCTCTCTTTTTCTACATCAAAATTTTACCAACAGTTTTGAAATTCCCGCACTTGAAACTTTAGCAGCAAAAACACCCTGCGATTGTTAAATTACCGTAAAACTTTGATGAAAAACAATACCTTACTTGCTAGATTAGATTTGAAGAAATTCAAACCCCCAACAAGATGATAATTTCAGATGACTATTTTAAATCGTCCTCTGCTTTGTGACTTCAAATTTAAATTATCAGAGGCACCCAACTCTGCCTTTCTCCCCATGATCATTTTTACTATATTCAGTTACACATATCAGAACAAAGAGAATGTAATCCCTCTCTAGTGTCTGTTCCGAAGGCAAATATATTGTCGTCATTTATTAGTCTTTATAAGTATAATTTTCCGAAAGAATCTTCGAAATCTTTACTGAAGAATGGTTATGAAGCTGTTCAATTCACTTTAAATTTTTGTTTGTTAATATTGATGTGTCAAAGTAAAGTATATACTTAGTCTGTTATTTTTTTCAAACAGATTGTAAGAATGAATTAAACCAGATTCCAGTACCTTTTATTTCGGGTGTGTTTGCCGGAATCCTAGCATCGATAATCACCCAGCCTGCTGATGTTCTGAAAACCAAAATGCAACTTTATCCTGAAAAGTTTCATAATGTCTTGGATGTTATGCTCTATGTTAAGAAGGTATCAATGGTTTTTAAAATTATGTTTCCAAAAGATCTCAGATTAATTAAAAATTATCCAATTAATCTTATATTTTTTCGATCATGCTGTGAATTTGACTCAAAAAATCTTTCTTTAATTTTTTTGGTTGAAGTGTAAGTTCATACTCCCAAGTTTTCACTCGATATTCGTCAATAATATTGCAAGTTTAGTGAAAAAAGTTATGAATTTTTCCTTCATTTACGAACATATATAATGTATGTATCTATTATACTAATTTCTAATCTTAGTAATTTCCAAGAAATTATGTTAACAGAATCAAATAAGAAGAAACAATAATTTAAGTGTTAACATTCAGTAGAACAAGAATCAAACCTAGTACAGAAGTCGCAAAATTGCAGGGTGATGCCTCATGACATTTGATAGATGACATTAAAAGCAGTAATTTTCAGTGAAATTAAAGTGTTCAAAGCAGTCTCATCAGGCATCAGATTTGAGTTTCATTGCTGGATATCAGGAATTAGATTTTGCCTTTTTTTGTATGTGCAGACTTATGGTTTGAAAGGATTCATGAAAGGCCTTGTACCTAGAATGCTCCGAAGGACATTAATGGCATCAATGGCATGGACTGTGTATGAGCACGTGAGTCTCTCTTTTCTTTCTATTTTCTGGTTTATAAGTATTTTTCCAATTCAAGTAAATTAGTTCCTACAATTTACCAAGTTCAATTTCTTCTAGTTTTAGTTTCTTCTCCGAAGGTGAAACACATACATAGTTGTTTTAAAACGGGACATGCACAGATGGCTCCTAAAATTCCTCTAAGCCTATTGCACTCTTTATTTTTAAAAAAATTGAGAATTGGACATTACTGAACAAGCTCAATGATTAATGAATCATAAAATGAAAAAGATTTCATGGCGCAAATGTGTATTTCAACGCATTTAAAAGATAATAGGATGCTTAATTTTTTTCTTTTTTATCATAGCACTGTGCAAGTCAATTGCCTTCAACAAAAATTTGAAAAATGTTTGTCCCATTCAACACATTTAATAAGGAAAATTATCGGTTTATTTGTCTAGAAAATTTTTTACAATTAGATGAATGATCATTTTGCTACTCTTTTTTTACAAACTAAAATCCTATTCTGGTCTGAAAATTTTGTAACAAAATCATTGAAGATTCTTTTTGTGGGAAAAATATCAACTCTAACTATTATTTACCTCCTTGCTTTCCTTTTTCAGATTACAGTTTCCATTGGTCTAAAGTGACATGTTAATATTGGACTCCACCGTTTATTTTGTACGACCGGGTATGTATTGATATCATAAAAAAGTTTCAAACGATGGAAGTCAGTTTTGCATATTCAATCAAAAGTATGTATTTGTGAAGTAATTAGAACATTGCAGATTCATTGCGATGGGATAATATCGTGATTGTGAAATCTATGTGGTTTTTATTAAGAACTTTCCTCACAATCATGTGCCACTCTGCAAAGAAAAGGCAAGAAGTTTAGCTAAATTGGCACAGCCACCGAATAGATATTACATGTTAGTCTCAAAAGTTTAGTTAAAGAAGTTACCTGAGATATTTGCCCTGAAAATTTAGGCAATTAACAGTTCAAGAATCTGATAAGATTTGACAAATGTAAGCAATCAAGAAACTTGCATTGTATGAATGTCATCTTCTCCAAATATTTTCAAAATTTTAGGGAAGATTTAACTCAACTCTTTCTCCGAGCACAATCAAATGTTCTATTCTGTATTCCAATGGCCTTTTTTGTTAGGCACAGCAGGATCTTTGAGGCTCTAGTCGTATTCAGAAACTAGCTGCTAATCAGTATTTTAATCCTCCTCTTATATTTAATTATTTATTTTTATTTTTACTGTGCACACTCAAATCTTGTGATTTAGAACTAGTATTGTTGTATTGTTTTATTGCACCTATTTTTATTTACAAAATAAAAATATTTTGTTGTTAAGAAGGAAACAGATGAATCATATATTTTTCTTAATACTTGCAAAGTTTTTCTTTTTTCAGTGTAGCCTATTACGGATTGGCCACCACTTAGTTTTTGGTGTGAGAAATGTGATGAACACACTAAAAATTTCATAAATATTAGTTCATAATTTTTTTTATCCAAAACATTAAGGTGGTTCGCCCTTTGTTCCTGGCGCGATCAAACTGTCGCGCTACACATCGCATCAACTGAGTTTAAAGTCTTGATATGTTTTGACTCGTTTGCCCCAAAAAAGACATTAACCCCTGCAAACGTGCAAAAAAAAAAAATCATTCTCAACCGAAAAAATTGCAAAAGTAGGAGAAATGAAGATAGAAAAAAAAAATAAAAAAAAAAAAATAGAAAATCTCTCTCTTGGAAATAGAATGTTGCATCAAACTTCTATACCAACTTCTGTATGGTAACAGTATCAAATCCAACGCTGTTTCTTTTTTTCCTGCTTTCATTTCCTTGAATTTCACAAATATTTTGGTTGAGAATGATTTTTTTGGGCTCATTCATTGTTAATCATTCTGTTTTTGGCTGAAAAGTCAAAATCTGCCGCAGGGCTACAACTTGTCCTAAGCCTCTGCAATTTTCTGAAATGTGCTGGGGTTTTGCAAGGATATCAACACAACAAGCTGATCAAGATTTTGTCAAATTTTTGGATATTTTCAGGATGTACGTCAAAGTTGCATTATTCGGCAAGAGATATAAATTTGAAAATCTCATAATGAAACAAAGAAAAAATTTCTCTCAGCCTCCAAAATTTTTAGGGCACTTCCACAGTCTAGTGACCGCACGTAAGTGTGGTCGAGTTTAGAGATACACACTGACATTAGAGATGAAAACGTTGAAAAATGTATGAGGAGCGAAACACAAAGTCATGGGTCTAAGGATGTTAAATATACTAAAATGTAAAACACAGGTCTGGGGTCTGAAAGATGGAAAAAGACTTCGAAAAATAGGCAGCACACGCTTATATGGCCTTGCTGACTTTACAGGTGGTGAGACAAGAAGACCACTCGAGATTGGCTGGCTATAATCTATGTAGCTATCAGTTGTAAGTTTGGTAATTAAAAGAAGGGTCAATAAAATAAGATGGTTGGAGGATAACGAAAGAAAAATGAAATTTTGAAGAAAAAATGATGAATTCAGCCAACATTATGAACTGATAGAGAAATTTATATTAATACAAATGGATGCATTTCTATCAAACGGAACTATGTGCATTAAGACAAGAGCCCTGAGACCCCTAGGAATACATGCATAACAGGGCTCACGTCATAATGCACATAGTTCCGATTGACAAGAGTGTGTCCAAATGATTTACTGAGGTAAGCAGCTTACCTAACGACTTAGTACCTACTTACGTATTCTCAATTGGGATGGGACTCGATCATCTCTGCCCTTTTGCATCAAAGGACCCTACAACAAAACGGCCAAATCGGCCTAAACACGGAATCGTACGATTTTCTCAGGGATGATAGAGGGTCTTCCCAGACACTCAAAACTGGTCATATTTTTTGCCTAACCCCCAGGGAAAAGCGGGGAGAGGGGGTCAAAGTCAAAACCTTTAAATTAGCATAACTTCTCAACGGTTTGTCGTAGAAAGATGATCTTGATGTCAAAATTTCCAGAAAAATGAGAGCTTTTAGAATATGTGTATGAAATCAATTAAATTTTAAAATTTGACCCACTTTTGGGGCATTTTACAAGGTCCCCCTTTCGTAAATTTTCGTTTTTTGAGATTTTCGGTTGTTCGGTTCGCACGGATCAAAACAAAAACAATTTCAAATGAAAGTAGAGCGTTTAAGCTTTAAAACAAGCCCAAGATGATCTTGGGGAAACGATTAGAAGCGGAGTTATGAGTCTTCAAAGTTGACGCGGCGCGCAGGAACCTTGTATGTTCCGAGTCTCAAGGTCACCTGCGCGCCCCGGATTGCCTGCAGGTTGCAAGTTTTTGTGTTTTTATGCTTCTGTAGGTCATTTTTAATGTAAATCATTCAATGAAGATAGTTTAATCAGAATTTTTTAATTTTACACAATGGGCCTTCGGCGAGGTACACCACATTAACGTCAAAAAATTTTAACTGCGTTTCAAATAGCCCCCTCAAGAATAACTGAGACTTGTCTTGAAGCTCAAAGCTCGTCTGCTTCTACGAGAAACTATTTGGCTTTACCAAGTGAGTTCCGTCAAGCGCTGTAGCTTATAGCTCAATTAAAAAAATTTAAAATTAGGGGTACCCCAAAATTTGGCATCAATGGGTTATAATTTCTAAATGGTTCAGTTCTGTATGGAGCATATGTATATTTGAACAAAGGGTCCATGGTTTCTTCTAAATTATAAGAGCAGAATCGTCATCGTCAGCAAATGTTTAATGAGGTATGATGGACATAATGGTTGATACTCTAAGCCCCCTCTCGCTCCTCCCGTAAAATTAAAAAATTTCGATTATTCTATCTTCATTGAATGATTTACATTAAAAATGACCTACAGAAGCATAAAAACACAAAAACTTGCAACCCGCAGGCAATCCGGGGCGCGCAGGTGACCTTGAGACTCGGAACATACAAGGTTCCTGCGCGCCGCGTCAACTTTGAAGACTCATAACTCCGCTTCTAATCGTTTCCCCAAGATCATCTTGGGCTTGTTTTAAAGCTTAAACGCTCTACTTTCATTTGAAATTGTTTTTGTTTTGATCCGTGCGAACCGAACAACCGAAAATCTCAAAAAACGAAAATTTACGAAAGGGGGACCTTGTAAAATGCCCCAAAAGTGGGTCAAATTTTAAAATTTAATTGATTTCATACACATATTCTAAAAGCTCTCATTTTTCTGGAAATTTTGACACCAAGATCATCTTTCTACGACAAACCGTTGAGAAGTTATGCTAATTTAAAGGTTTTGACTTTGACCCCCTCTCCCCGCTTTTCCCTGAGGGTTAGGCAAAAAATATGACCAGTTTTGAGTGTCTGGGAAGACCCTCTATCATCCCTGAGAAAATCGTACGATTCCGTGTTTAGGCCGATTTGGCCGTTTTGTTGTAGGGTCCTTTATACGCCTCTCTCACAGAGCCACTAAAAGGAATGATATAGGTTAGAGACATACTTACCTACCTACAGGTATTCAAAAGCTGAATGTTCTGATTTTTCAATTTCGATACAAGAGGAAAATTATGGACAAATAGCTCAGGTATAATTAACCAAATTATGTCCGCTTTATTTTCCTCTCATATTTGATCAGATGAGTTGAATAGTTTTTGAAAATGAAAGGTCCTAAATACTATCTTAGTGCAAAACCACTACGCAAAGTGTAAAACCCTGTATCTCCACTGCGGTGCACGGAAAAAAATTAAATGTTAATTTAGCATTTATACTGTTGAAAAGATGTCTGACAAGTTTCAAATGCTGATTTTACAATACATAAATGCTAACATAACATTTTAATTTGTACATTTTGCAGTGGGCGTAGTTACGTTAGCATTTCTTAAAATGTAAAATCAGCATTTGAAACTTGTCCGACATCTTTTTAACAGTATAAATGCTAAATCAACATTTAATTTCTTTCCGTGTGTTTCAAAATTTCCACTCCTTTTATCTACAAGAAACAAGCCAATACTTCATGACTTGTAATTTTACTAATGTTGAATATTTTGCTCATATAGCAGATAAATCTAGGAAGTTTGCAAGAAATTACGTTGATTATTTTCTGAGGAAAAATTAAACCATGATAGGAAGTCTGCAACGTCGCAAACGGAGATAATTGGTTTTAGGAGGTAGAAGAAGTCAATTTTTCGCAACCTTACCTCTGCATTTGGCTGTAAACCATGTGAACAATCAGTGCCAGCCCATTTTACTTGGGGTAAAACTGACAACACTGTTTTACCGGAAACGGAAACGAGTGACCTTTTCGTAAAACTGACAACATTGTTTAACCGGAAACGGAAACGAATGCCCTTTTCGGAAAATTTACAACACTGTTTAACCGGAAACGGAAATCATTTGGGAAACAGGATATCTGGAATTATTTGAAATTCCCGCTAATTTTGGTTCAACTCGGAATAAATGGAATGAACCGCTTTAGACCAATCAAAGCGTCTGGTTCAAAATTTGCCATTAAAATTCCTTTTGTTCGAAAAGAGGAATAATTGGAAAAATGTAGTGTTTATTTTCAGTTATTTCCGAGAATTTGGAGGTTAAGTCGCTGAATTTTGTCGCGTTCTTGATGCAACGGTGATTTCTCGTTCTAAAACTTGCAACAAAATTGTTTAATTTAGCCGTAATGGTGATTTTCAATCGATTTGCGCTATCGGCCCTCTTACGACTTTAAACATGATGCACTTAACAGTTTTGTGTTGTTGCCTGAAGTTAATTTCTATATCAGAGCCAATTGCGTTGTTGTCCATGTGACTGTGTCAACCTTGTACTTCCAACCCAAAATTACTGAATTAGCATTTTACTATCGTGCTAATTCCTAACTAGAACGTAGTTGTTTTAGAATAATATCTCGCGGTAACTTTTCCTCTAATGCTGCTCCACCATGCTGTGATTCTGTGTTAGCTTTGATAATGTCATTGATAACCGTTGATAAAAAACTCAACATTCTATATCTTGATGATGATGAAGAAGCTGATGACTGGAAATTACCCTTAGCTTTTGTTAAGAAAAGACATACAGAACCTATTGAGGGAGCAAAAATTTTCCCTCAATCATGGCGCATGAAAGAGCGGGTAAGTAACCTTTACACTAGCATGTTCGTATGAAACGCAATTGATGATTTCATAGCGAAAAGATAATCAGTGCAGAAGCTTTTTTGGACATTGATTCTCTTTAATGTGAACAATTATGACACCATTAGTTTGCTCTTCCTTATAAGCGAATCATATCTCGGTAATTTTTGGTAATTTATTTGTTACTCATTTTATGATAAGTTACAAATGTACGATTTATGACTAAATCTTGTAAAATTACTTTTAGATTCAGAGGAATCACTAACCTCCATTTATGCAGGTCCATGGAATTATCAAAACTATTATTCGTTAGTTCTACATTTATTGGAAAATTAAAATTAAAGAAAGGCGTGGCTATAAGTAAAAGTCAGCTGAGGCAACTTTTACTCTGTTCCTCTGACCCAGCCTTCTAATCAGTTACCTGCAAGATCAAATTTATGTAGCATCATGTTGATGTGGCCGTTGACTGTCTAAATGGTTCATACCGTGTGTTTGGTACCCAGACCAGCCGATTGAAGAGTCAGGAATTGTTAGTGTTATGGGCCTGCTGCAAACTTTTCCTAGAGCTAAAATAAGAGTGGTTTCTATTGGTAAATATCTCAGATATGCGCAGTGCAAAGTTTGCATTGCACTCCTGACTTCACAAGCTGCTCAAGAAATTTGCGCTTTTTTAGCTTCCCGCTTCAAAAATGATACTACAGCACAGGTGAAAATTTCGCCAGAGGAGTCGTTATATTCAACCCTCTTGCAATAGCTATAGCAAATATAGCCTATGCTTCTGTGCGCAAATCACAGTCGGGAGTGCAAGGTCAACCAAAGCAGATTTTTATGAACGTAAAGAAATCAGGAATGTAAACACGCTGGGTTGTTAACAAATGTATAGACTCTTGTCTAGACACATATGTTTTGGTCAATTGGTGTTGGCCTTGTTGAATATTGTTTAGTATCCTAGGGCACAGGGGTCGGATAGAACGACACCTCTGACGAAATATTTATCTGTGCCGTAGTGTCGTTTTTGAAGTGGGAAGCTCAAAATATCGCAAATTCCTTACGCAATTGTGAAGTTAGGAGTGCATTTCAAACTTTGCCAATGCGCTCATCCAGACTTTTGAGACATTCATTGACAGAAATCACTCTTATTTGTGCTCTAGCAAAAGTTTGCAACCGGCTCATTGGCATACAGAGTCTACAATCCTATACCCTCTGTATCTGGCCGTGTGGTAGCCCTCCAACACCATAAACCATTGTAGAATTCTTTGAAATATCTGCTTTTTCAGTTGTCATCAATTATATTTGTATGAGCATGGATTTATACGTAGACATTTGAGCCTGTTGCCAAGGGCGGCAAAAAATGTACAAAGAGAAAAATGAATATTGAGTGCCGACGCAAATGCCCTGCCACTGGAAGGGCAATGCAGTATTCACTAAGCAATTCACCTGATCCAGAAGAATTAGTAAAAAAATGTGTCAGGAATGTAATTTAGGAATGGCATAACCCCCTGCAACAAGTTGTGGAGGCGGCAAAATCTTGATGGCTTAGGGGGGCAATTACGTAAATCCATACATATGAATGAGGAGTTGATAAAATCATAACCAAACAACATCAGATAGCTGATGATACGTTGCGAAAGAAGGCTTAAGTAAATGGGTTCCCTCCGGGGAAAAACTAAGGAGATGGCCAGTTAAATCGTAGATGTGTGATATTTAAGATGCTCTAGCGATAATTCCATCCAGATAACATAAGACGACCTCTAGATAAACAGGCAACGGTGGCGTATAGTGGTCGCAGAACATCCGCAAGCAATACAGAAACATCTTTTGTAAATTATGGTAGGAATCAGACCGAAGAGATATTGAAAAAATAAATGACATATAAGTATAGATTAATGTAACGTAACAGAAACTCTAAATGTTGAAGATTGAGAGAGGGACTGACTGAAGTAGTTAAATAATTCGCAATTGCAAGGGAGAATCTTGGCCCCTTTATTGTAGTCAGGTGACTGGATTGACAAAATGTAACTCGCGGCAAATCAATAAGATGTTGGCGATGATTTTGACCAATTTTTTGTATGATTGGCTAGCCTTGATCATAAATCATAGTAATTCAGACAAGACAAATTAGTGTAGTACTTTGATTTCTACTCAGTTTCAAAAGGTCCCATGTTTTAATTCTGGTGGTGGCAACAAATTTTCACAGAATGAATGAGTGGGGTAAACAGATTCATCTTGTCCCCAATTTCTTAAATTATGAAAAGTCTAAAAGAACAGGATTTTCATAAAATAATTCATTTTGTGTTTGATTTCAGATGAAGACTGTAAGTGTGGCACTAGTTCTATGTTTGAATGTTGGTGTGGACCCCCCAGACATTGTCAAAACTCAACCATGCGCTCGTTTGGAGTGTTGGATCGGTAATAATTGGTTTCACTCTATTAATCTAGGAAGTCGTTGAAAGTTGTTGTCTTTCAGCTTTTTTATTCACTAAAAAAATTTTGGAGAAAAGTTTCGGTTTTGTACTCTATCTTCGAAAAATTCATGATGTGTTTTTCAAATTGAGGCGTTGGGTACAGAAAGGGCACTGCTCGGTTGCAGTGTTTCAGAACTCACTGCTAATTTATATTTTAAATAGGAAATTTTTGGGTAAATTCTCAAGAAATTTTCGTTTAAAGCATTGGAAAATTGTATTGAATATTTAGTAACAAATTCAATGAATTACGTACATTTGCTTTGATCCTAAAAAATGAAATGTCAGTGGAAATTCTAAGATACCGCAACTAAGTTGTGCTGTTCCTGCACCCAGTACTTCAATTTTGTCACCAATAAAAGCACAATAAGTGAGATAGCTAAACCTTTGCCGACCAGGAAATTAGTCACACATCATGAACTTTGTCTGTCACTGAATTGTCAACATGACCAGCTGGTCTCAAAAAATTGTCTTGTAAACTAAATTAAGCCAAAATGATCCATTTACATTTACTCAATAATGTTAATATATATTTGTTGTCTCACATATTTTCAAAGAGTGAAAACAAGTTTATGAGAACAGTCTAATAAATATGTTAATTTTGGAGTATTTTTAAAATCCTGTGAAAGAAATTGATTTTATATGCTTATTGTTGAGGTAAGTCATGAGTTCAAAGAAAACAAGTCAAGTTAATCTATTTCTCTTTCAGATCCTCTGTCAATGCGGCCACAAATTGCATTAGAAACAATTGGAACAAATCTTCAAAAACAATATGAGAGATGGCAGCCTAGGGCACGATACAGGCAAAGCCTTGATCCTACAGTTGAAGAGGTTAAAAAGCTTTGCACATCATTACGTAGAAGTGCCAAAGATGAACGTGTGCTTTTTCATTACAATGGACATGGTGTTCCCAAACCAACTGCAAACGGAGAAATATGGGTGTTTAATCGAGTAAGTCCTCGCTCTCATGATTGTGTTGTTTATTTTTACTCTGTTTACGGCTAAGCTTTAGAAAGATAGCTGTAGAAAATGTGAAATTGTAGCCAAGTTACTAAAGCACCTTGGGACTTTACCCACAGGGCCGACAGTACTATCAGCTGATTTTGAGTTAAAGGATGCGATTGAGAGGGAGCCAGGAACAGAAGCTGCTAGACTAATGGAATCGATAGGTCCATTTTTATTCAATATAGCTGTCCAGCCTCCCGCAAAATTTTATTTTAAAGAATGGAATTTCTTTCTGGAGGACTGAAACCTAGCTTCTATAACGTGACTTTTATGTAATGAGCTGGCGAGGAGAGAGGCACCCTCTGAAGTTTGTTTCCATAAAATCGCAAGCAAAGCAAATGCATTGATCCTTGCAACAAACTTGTGGCGGAAATTAGGCAGTGTATCGCACCATTGAAAATGTTCAAAATAGTCGATAGCTGCCCTAGGGGTATACCTAGTTTGAGTAATACGTTGTCTTTTTTATGAGGTATCAACATTTGATGGCGTTATTTGATAGTGCAGCTTTGTATGCCAATTCAATTTAGATATTGATTAACATATTTTACTTGCTTACTCTGTCTTACGAAGACCTTTTTTATCTATCTATGGTCATTAATTATAAAAACCAAATAAGCTAAGTAGGTGTAGTTATGGTGTCGATACCACGGCGGGGCTGTGCTGTGTTGCAAATTGTTGGAGGATAGGTGACTTGCCTGGATGTGGCTACGGCCACTCATAAAAAGGAACCCATCATAGGTATTCAATTAGCTTGAGCAGCAAAATGTTATCCCTATAATGTACTTTTCGGAAATACCATAAGTTCATGCCAAAAAAGATTCCAACTCTCTGAGCAAAACACAATATCTATAATCTTCATTTTTGCACAAATAACGGTGCTAAAACAAAGAAATTTAATCCCCTGTTACACTTGGAAAAGTCCACTAACTAATACGGGGTCCATGCCACTTTTCTAAATCTGCGCAAATATTTAAATTGCAGGATGAAAAACATGTGGAGAAATAACATTCATCACAGATTCTAAACGGCAGTTATCTCCAGATCAAATTTTTATTTTTATAAGATTTCCCAATAATGTTTGTTTGCTAATCAATATTTCAGCAATACACGCAATACATTCCTCTCTCTGTGTACGACTTGCAAGCTTGGATGGGAGCTCCATCTATCTATGTGTATGACTGCTCAAATGCTGGTATAATTGTTGATCATTTCAAACAATTTGCGGAGCAACATGAGAAGGAATATGAGGTAATGTTGAGAATTATAAAGTTAAAATATTCAAGTTTGATTGAATTAAGCTGAATGATGTTATTTTATGTGCTTTTTAGGATGATCTTCTATATATACTCTGTGTGAAAACAGTCAACATTTTAGTGTAAACAGAGAGATGGATTACCTTGATATTTCTGTTTGAAGTATCCTTTAAAGTCATGAATTTTAAAATTTACCACAGAAATTCAAAGGTAAAACTGACAGAAAAAAAACCTCTCAATACTCAATAACAATAACTCAGGGACGTAATTGAATCAATTATCATCAACCAGATAGAGGCTCAACCAAAATCAAGCCCTCTCATTAATGTATCGATGTCCAGTTTCAAATTTAAAGAGTGTTCTAAACTCTCCAATAAGTTTAAGGAGTCATCTAGCGCATTAAGCTCAATTTTTAAGGGGAAGATTTTTTAGAAGCCTAATAAAATTTTTGCCTATTTATCACCGTGTATCTAATAAGTAAAAAAATTGCTTGCTAAACAAGTTCTGTTAGATGCAGATTGACATAAAAATCACCAATCAGAATTAAAATTGCAAAAATTTCTCAGGGGCTGTTGTTGGCCAGAGTCTTTGTTTTTTTAGGATTCATGGCCAATTTTCTAAAGGACCCGGCGTTTGTTTGTTTGGAACACTGAATGAAAGTATGTTAAAAGAAAATATAATGAGGTGCATATGCATCGAATTACCAAAAAACTTCTGATCAAAGGAAAGAAGAATAATTAATTTTGATGAAAGAGAAGAAAAAAATCCAGCCACATCTTCAGCATTGAAACATGCTATTTCTGCAACCAAGAATCTTTTTCCTTTAGTTTTGTTAAAGGGCTCTCAAATTGTACAACTTCTTAATTTTAATGCATATATTAGTTAAAAATTCAGCACAGTAAAATTATTTTTATTTAAATTACACTAATGTGTCAAAAAATTTCTGTGTAGACCTGCTCGTAACTCTCGGTTTTCTTTTATTTTGCAATAACAGCAAGCTACTGCACAAAACAATCGGGTCTCCATTTCTCCGCCATCATTTAAAAATTGCATTCAACTAGCCGCTTGTAGTGCAGATCAGATTCTGCCAATGAATCCGGATCTCCCTGCTGACATTTTTACTTCCTGCCTAACCACTCCTATAAAAATAGCTCTCAGATGGTAAGTGCTCTGATTTTTTATTAACTAACCTGCTTATTAACCACCTTGACTCTCAACTTATTTTTTTTTTTTTTTTTCCCTCCCCCAATAACTCAACTTAATATTACAACTTCCTTTAAAACCCCTCTCCTGAGACTCTAAAATCTGTTAAAATGACCAGCTCAATGCTGTATTAGGAGTGGGGAATATGGACCTCGGCAAAAGAGGAAGAAGTGGAGTTATCCTGGTCTAATATACAGGTACAGCAAAAATAATATCGATGAAGATCAAATCTTTATTATACTACCTTCAACAAAAGTGAGTGTTTGGCAGTACAGAACAAAATTCGCCATTGGCAACCTGAGGGAGTATTTATTGTCATTTTAACAGCTGTCCTTGACTTAAACTCTAGAAGTCTAGCCAAACTTCAAGAATCATGTCTCAAATCATGACATAATCAAGTCATTTACTAGATTTAATTTTGCATTGGTTCATCTAATATGTAATGTAATGTGAATGAATGTAATGCCTAATTTGGTAGAAAAAAGAGTTTTGAAAAGTGATGGCTGATGGTGAATCTCAATTTGGAAAATAAATTCTCCGTGAAAATGATTATAACCAACGTATGTGTATTATTAATAAGTAATAGGATGGTAAAATAATGCTGGGCTCTCACTATTCCAAAGGGAAATCAATGCCAGCATTAACAAAGCTAAAAATCAAAGCTACAAACTAAACAGTAGCAGAACTACATTACAAATTACATAGTGATTGTTCCCTCAATATACCCTTGTAAAATGATCCTCCGATGAAATCAAGTTACTTAATTTACTTTTTTTTTTTTTTTTTTTTTTTTTTTTTTTTTTGTGTGTTCTGTCTTTTAAGGTTCGTGCTCCAAAATACATCAAAATTAGTTCCAAAAGTGCTTTTAGAATCAATTGACAAGTAAGTATAATTTTTTTAAAATCCATTTTTTAGTTTGTTAATTAATTCTTTTTCGTTCATTTGGAAGCTAGTCTAGAGTAATTTTTTTCTGTGTTATATTACATGCCTCATTAGCCTCAATCCCTCTTATGTTTTGCAGTTATATTAACGGAAAATAGATCCCGAGTTGGAAGATTGCGTCTCCTATGCAAATAAAAAAACAATAAAATACTCATTATTTGGGTATTCACGCTCAATCTTTGCGAAGATATTTCGAATTTGATCTCTCCAAAATTCAAAATGTGTTATCATGGCAATGTTCAAATTAAAATAAGACGCAACAAGAGCTTAAGAGAAGAACATATTTTACATATTAAGACTGCAAGTTTGCTTTCCATTTTAGGAAAAAGGTCGATCTGCATGGAAAATTTCTTGTATCAGAAGAGCATTGAAACTAATAATATCAATAAAAATGCTGGTATGTATGTGTACGTCTAAGAAGAGGATAAACAACTGCACCAAGAAAGGAACTTTCAAATATCAAAGCTTGCTAGACTATCAAAGCTTTCTTGCTAAACTTACTTCTCTGAACTCTTCCTCTCCGGACAGCTAAGTGCATGCCTGGTAGGTATGCAAACATTCAAAACACTTTAAAATACTCTGAAAAAACTTTATTTCTCTTCAAGGGTGAATACTAAAATATTTTAATCCATTTTCTTCTGATCTTTGTCAGGATTCCAGGACAAATAAATGACCGAAGGACCATGTTAGGGGAGCTTAATTGGATTTTTACTGCCATTACTGACACCATTGCCTGGAATATGCTTCCTAGAGGTAAGTTGCCAGGGCTTCAGTCATAAATAATTTTTTATTCCTCTAGTTTGTTTTCATCTCAATGTATCTCTAGATTTTCTCAAACACATTTCAGAAAATTCTCGCATGTATTATAAATGTAACAAGTAGAAAGGAAATGAGTTTAGTAATTTATAATGTTCATTAACTGAGGTGTCAAAGAAGGTGAGATAGGCCTAATTTCAGGAAAAGCAAAAAATGAGAGACTTACCGCTTTTTATACATATATTTTCTGGAGACATAAGTGCACACTAAGTAAACCAAATAATGTTGTTGTAACTCTTAAAAGGGTAAAATAAACTTGAGGGAGGTCAAGTATGTGACTAAGTCACATGTCCTTGAAGACAATCGTAAATTTATCTGGAAGGACCTTTCGCAAAATTTAGGTATCATCCTGGAGGAAACTTGACAATGACCTAACATTTGATTTTCAGCACTTAAGTCAACTATAAATGTAAGTAACTGATTCAACTGTAAATATCTAATCGACTCAACTGATCTTGTTAAGCTTATAAGAAGATCTCGTTCACCTCCAGACTTCTTGGAAGCTTGTGCTGACTTTATAAAACCGAGAAACATGTTTCTACCTCTACTGAATTGTATTAGTTTTATTAACCTAGTTATATCAACTTCAATTCTTCATAATGTTTCTTAACAAAAACTTTTCTGTTTTCAGATCTATTCCAAACTTTATTTCGACAAGACCTCCTTGTTGCGAGTTTATTTCGGAATTTTTTATTGGCAGAACGGATCATGCGATCCTATGACTGTTCTCCTGTCTCCTCGCCTAAGCTTCCACCAACATATCAGCATCCAATGTGGCTTGCATGGGACCTTGCGCTGGACCTTTGCATGGCACAATTGCCAGCTGTCCTTGAATCAGAAGAGGCATTCAAGCATTCTCCATTTTTTGAAGAGCAGCTAACAGCGTTTCAAGTATGGCTTGAGTTAGGCTCAGAAGAAAGGAGCCCCCCTGAACAGTTACCAATTGTTTTGCAAGTAAGAGTTAATTTCGTCCATGCTCACCCCTCTCAAATGCACCTTTTGTCTGAATTGCTTTAAACTCCCAAAACCTAATTCCCTGACACTGTGGACATCAACTTTGTCTATTTTGCCCCCCCCCCCCCCCTGCTGAAAATATGTTTAACGTCTCACTGCAGTCAGTGGTAGGAGAGTCGAAGATGATGCTTAGCCTTGCTCGAATTGTATTTTCATCACAATGGCATCAAGCAATGGTACACAGCATGTTCAGTTATGTTTTTGAAAAAATGATAAGCAAAGTTTATGCTGCTCAAAATCTCTTATCAAAATTGTATTGTATGTAATATATATCTGATTGAAAAATACCTCAATGCCGGAGATGTCACACAAATTTTGTTTTGTTTTTGTTCAAAAGAATGATCCTTTTATTATTATTTATTGTTCTCTCCTCATGGTTCACCATTCTTCATTCTAGGCCCATCTAATTTCTAATTTTATTGTTTTACAACTGAATACTCTTAAATGAGAAAACGGAGCCTTAGAAAAGAAATATGCCTTTAATCGCTCATTAGGTACGTCTTCAAAGTAAACTGTTTTTGAGCATTTCAACATAATTACCCAATGTGTAATGTTCGGTGCTGTTTGACTCAGTTTGAATTACCTGATGACTTGCTTGTTTACATGTGAAAGCTCAACATTTCTGTCTAATGTTCAACAGTCTTGAGAGGTTGACAGATTATTGAGTTGCATTTAATAAACAGAAGAACCAAATGGTATAGGATCAGTCTACTTTGACAAAGCACCTATTCTACATTTAGTTTGTGTTGATCGCTTTTAGCAGGCATTGAAAGTATGAAAAAAAGACTCAAGAAGTCAAGTCGAAGAATCTGTCTTAAAAGCTCATCTGTAAATTTCTACTATTAAAGTAAACTCATAATCCTAGTTATCTTCATTTAATTAAAACTGTGTTTGATTCCCAGGTACTTTTGAGTCAGGTTCATCGGCTGAGAGCTCTAGAACTGCTCGGCAGGTTTCTGGACCTAGGCCCATGGGCTGTCAATCTAGCCTTATCCGTAGGAATTTTCCCATATGTCTTGAAACTTCTCCAGAGCTCCGCTAAAGAATTAAGGCCCCTTCTTGTTTTTATTTGGGCTAAAATTCTTGCTGTTGATGAGGTAAACATCCATTTTTAATTCTATTAGTTCAAGACCATCCGTCAAACTTTAATTTCATAGTTCATTATGATAGATTGCCAATTAAAAAGCAATCTGATACTTGTCTACAAATTGACGGCAATAGGGGTTGTAAGATAAAAATATGAACCTCTAGAATCATAAATAGCAGAGGAATCTTTAAAATAGATAGCATTAAGCTACATATTAGTGTAAGAGTTATGCTAGGAAGGTCCTAAAAATGACCAATTTGTCTTAAATAAAATCCGCATAGCTTGCTTGAATTTTAACTCAGCGTTATGAAATTTTGAACAAATATTCTTACAAATATGAGGAATGGGTCAGTTGTGCTGGTCGCAGAATTGTGCTTTAATTCTTGATTCTTGTAGAAAGGTCATTGGCGCCCTAAGAGCTTTCTTGCATATTACAATTGTGTCGGCCTCCTGTGGTGTAGTGGTTGTAGCACTAGCTCTATGATCGGGAGGTCCCGGGTTTGATTCCCGGCCAGGCGACCCGAGTTTGATGGTCTCAAACAATGGTTGCCTGGGACTGGTTGTTAAGTAGGGACAGAGGGGGGCCGGGACTAAAAAGCGCGGGATTAGCCCTTGTGGGCTACTTAAAGTGGAAAAAAAGAAAAAAAAATTTAAATTTTGTATGTTGTTGAGTGGTTTATTGAGTAGCTAGTTTTTGAATTTACAATTTACTCCACAAAAAAGCTTCTTATCAAATGCCTCTGAATATGTGCTAATTGAATAATTTGAACATGTAACAAGAAAATAGTAGTCATCGCATAAACATTATCAGGTGAGAGACAATTCGACTAACACTAAGTGTTTTTTTTTTCCTATCCAGTCTTGCAAGGTGGATTTGGTTCGAGACAATGGCCATAAGTATTTCATATCGGTTCTACAAGATCCAGCCATTCCTGTAAGTAAAAATGTTGGTCCAAATTTTTTTTTTCTTGTCACCACTTTTATAACTTTAATAGAGTGATATTCTAATGTATTAATTTTTTACAATTCTTTTTGAAAGGTTTGAACAGTTTCATGAAGTTTCCGACAAAATCATTTAGGAAGTTTTAGGTGGAGAAAAATGTAGAAGCAAGTATTTTTTTCTTTTTCTCAATATCTGTCATGATAACTAGCCGTTCAACATTCTTGTATCCTTTGATTTGGGTTTTTTAAAACTGTTTAAAAAATGAGCTAGACACTAAGAAATAAAAACAGACAATAGACCCTTTGGGATAAGCTAATCCATTTCTAATCTAAACTTAATTGCCAATTATGTCGTTGAAAGTAAAAGGAGGCAGTATACTATGTTCAGTTACTAAGTATTACTTGAAGTCAAGTTGCATTTCAGCCTATCTTTCTTTCTAAATGAAGCAGTTTCCTCTGAAAAGTCTAGAAACTGCACTTTGTATGTTTCTGAGTCATTATTTCCTGTTTACAGAGTGAGCATCGGACTCTTGCAGTCTTTGTTCTTGCAACAATGGTGAACAGCTACGAGCAAGGTCAAGAAGTAGCTATGCAGGGAAACTTAGTATCTATCTGTTTGGAGCAGTTGACTGACATCAATCCCTTACTCAGGCAGTGGTTAGCGATTTGCCTTGGGCGTTTATGGAATAACTACGACAAAGCACGCTGGTGTGGAGTGCGTGACTCAGCTCATGAAAAACTTTATATATTGCTTAAAGATGATGTTCCAGAAGTAAGTTTAAGCTTTCCATTCTTTAAGTTTTTGTATGATTATATCACATGTACGTAAAAGCTAGAAATTATTTCAAAAATGGTTCATTAAGCAGAATAGCAAGGAATATTGTGAGTTTGGAAAACACTTTTAATTGTGTAAAAATTATTTAATTTGAAAGTTCATAAATACTTTTTTGAATTGAGTGAATTTAGCAAATCATGAGAAATCAACTTTCTTCAGTATCTGGCAAGGAGAACAATTCAATCACCTGGAAAGTAAACAATTTAAAGAAATACAGTAGCCGATCGATAATTCGAAGTTGGAGGGACCAGGGTTTTTCTTCGAAATTACGAGTTTTCGAATTGACAAGATTTCAAATTATGGAGAGCTGTTACGAGAAAATTCGAAATAAAGAGAGTTTCAAATTAGCTCTATAATTCGAAGTGGTGGAACGGAACGCTCTAAAATTCAAATCAGATAATCAGAGGATTTAATCGTAAATTCCTCAGTTCTCCGTCTGTCAGTCATTGACATATGTATGTACATCAGAACAACCACCTCGAGACTTCGAATTATAGAGTGCCCGGCACAGATATTTTGAATTACAGAGCTTTTCACAAGCTACTTTCTCACCGAAAAATTCGAATTACTGAGGGGGTAAAAATACACTGAATTTTTCGAATTGACGCGATTTCCCCAAGGGGATCAAGGGGCATCGCCGTCGAATTATCGAGCTTTTCGAATTATCAAGCGGCTATTGTAATTATCGAAGGTAAGGCTGGAATAAAAGCCTCCCATCCCGATTTCCCTTTCCTGTCATCTTTAGCTGTCATTATTTAACCACTATGTAATTTTTTGTTGCAGGTTCGAGTTGCTGCTGTTTTTGCTCTTGGAACTTTCATCAGTTGCTCCACTGAACACAGTGAACATGCTACCAATATTGATCAAAGTGTAGCAATGATGTTAGCCAACACAGCGTTACATGACATGTGCCCTCTTGTTAGAAAAGTAAGTCCCATTTATTCTCTCTGACTCTTTTGTATTAAGTTTTCTGAAATGGTAAAAAAAAATTCAGCAATTGATTCAACTTTTTAAGTGTAAATGGAGATTGATTCTTACGTAAAGGTTCGCAAGAAACACGATGGTGCCACTGGTTTTCTCTGAAAGTAACTCCCAAGCTCGAGAAAAGCTCTCAAGTTGAGGCCAATATGGAGGGGATATCCCACACTTTCCTGAGAGTCTACATCAAGACAATTCTCTCCATGCAAAGATAGAGAGAAAATACATTGACAGGGCTGCCACGTTATTTGGGGACTCTAAAACTAAAAATACGGCAACCCTGTCAATGTATTTGCTCTCTATCTTAGTATGGAGAGTTTGTCTTGATATAGAGGTGTACTCTCAGGATAGCTTGGGATACCCCCTCCATTTTGACCTTGACTTGAGAGCTTTTTTTGAGCTTGGGAGTTGATTTCAGAGAAAACCAGTGGCACCATCTTATTTCTTGCAAACTTTTACATAAGAATCAATGGTCAAATCGCAAATTCCTCACACATGCAACATCTCCATCGTAAAAAAAAATTGTGGAGAAAGTATCATGTTTACATCTGGCAACGAACCCTTGGAAGATCTGTATTCCATTACAAATAAGCTGCTGGGGAAGGGAGGTGGGAGGTAAAAGAAGTGCACTACAACATTTATACTATAGGCAGCAGGCTTTAAAGGATGCTTACGGTGCGTAGTGCCCAAAAATATCCGGATATCCTCCCTTGCATTCGCTTGCTCATCATAAATTTGGGTTTTGTTTTTCTAATGTCTGTTTGAAGTAACGGAATTTATCATCTTGTATTTTCAGGAACTAGTTGCCGCTTTACAGTCAGTGGTATTTGCATTTGAAAATTCATTTTTGTCCGTGGCTTTGTATGAACTCAGAGGAGGGCCTAACTTCATTCTACCTGGTGGTAAATAGACTGATTTACAATTTCCAATTTTATATTGATTCAAGTATTTTTTACTTCTTCTTCTCCTTTTTTTTACGAAGGCACATGTAAAATTATTATACCAGTGAACTGGAAAGGACAGAACATAACAATCTTTCTAATGTGAGAATGAGCAACAATGTTTACAAATACATAACTAATAACTCTGTAGACTGGTGGAATTGCTAAAAAAATGTTGAATCATTGTCATTGCATTGACAAGGATTATTAAATCTCTTGAAGTCCAAAAAACTTGAGTGACATTTCAGCAACTTTCATAAATTGGCTACAACACTATTATGAAAGAAATACTAATAAAAACAGAAGCCCCAAAATGTGTCTCTTATTTCATGTGAGACGATTCAACTTTATAGTTCTCTCATTGTAATGTTGCAAAAAAGGTAGATGATGGAAGTCTTTGAAATGATTTATTGGAAAAATAAATTAAATATGATGAAACAATCTTGAAATGCTTCAAAATGAATCCAATCAATTGAAAGTGTATTAAATGCATTCATGTTAAGTGTTTTAATTTCTATTTTTTGTTTATTTCTCATTCCTCAGACTCTCCTTCCAGCACACTTAAACGTTACTTATCGAAAGACCGATTGAAAGCGCTCACGCAGAACAGCACTCTATTGCCAAGCCCACCAACGAGTGAGATTAGCCCCCACCAAGGCGACAAACTGAAGCGTGTCTCCTCATCCTCCTCCATCAGTAGCATGGGTAAAGTCACAAAATTATACCATCTTGAAATTTACTTTGCTCTATGCTGAGGGTACTCAGCTAAAGGGATCTTACTTAGAGCTCATACTCAAAGCCTTGAAGAGCACCCAAAGAACTGTCTGACTTTATGACTTTGTCATTCATAGCTACTAAATCAGTGTAACTTAGTGAAGTTTATGTGTTTTTTGCATAGGTTCACTCATTCACATCTATTAATCAAATTATGTGCCAATGATGTGCATTTTTGTGGTTTTTTCTGATGCACAAATATTTCTAGTGAACGAAGGAAAGTTTTGGTCTCTAAGCTCGCGCTTAGAGAATTCCCTCCAGAATAATAACTGGTGTTCTCAGATTGCAGCATTGATTAAACTCAAATATTGGGAAATGTGTGAAAAAGAGATTTATGAAAAACTTGCAGATGTGTTGTAGTCTGTGGTATCGAATCCTTTATTTATAATTTTGAAGGTTTTAAATGTAGGAAGCATCTTACTCCACTCTTTCTATGGTATTTGCTGCTTTGCCATTTTTAGTCTCATGTCCTTTTAGTTTTGACCAATATCTTCACCTTTTCTCGTCATTTCATGGTTGAGGAGAGTTCTCTTCCTCTCGTCAACAAAGCAGTGTTTTGCCCGTAGAGCATGAAATGCCTAGAAAGAATGAAAATATTGGTCAAGCAATATACAGCCGTTAGGTGAAGTTACTCATAACTCGCCTTTTATTTTGTTAATTCTCATCATTCTTCATCTCCTTTCTTTAAAAAAAAGGTCACACAAACCCAAGCAACTCAAGTCTCATTCTCACATCACTCCCCTCTTTCTCCTTTGGAAGCGTGTACATGAAACTATGGCAAGTTCTAGCGGCTTTAGACTCAGATCCTCATCCAAGAGTAGCTAAAATGTCTCGAATCGTAACTGACTACATCAGAGACCAGGTATGATTTTATTGAACATTTTTTAGCCTTTTGTGCAAAAATAGTGGAATTTTGACTGATGCATTAGTAGCTGATGAAGTTTTGTCTAAAAATATCACTCATTTCCTATGCGGCATGCGTGACCTTTGATTTTTCTTCTTTTTTTCTTTTTTTGTTGGAATTTATTTAAGTACATTATTTGCTCTTATTGAGAGCTCATGTGTAGTTCTTCTCAGTTTAACGATGGCGGAAGCTGATAACTTATTTTCAGAAACAATCCATGCGATAAGTGCTCTTTGACCCTAAGCTGTTCAATTGCAGTATATCTTGTCAGGTTAAATTCTAATGATATTCAACAGAGCAAATTGCACTTTATTTGCAATAGAAAACGAGTAAACAATGGCAAGAGCCAAATCAAATGGTTACATGGTTCCTGCAGATACTTGGAATGACCTAATTTTTTAAACCTTCTCACAAGTGAAAGTCTGATAATGTAATTATATATGACCATTAGCAGAAAAAGTATTTGGGAATACTTAAACAAGTGTACTTTAATTTTCTTTTCAAGCCTGCATGGGCCATATGATAAAATTACCCTGTAGCTTTCTTGTTCTTTGCTTTTGTGATGTCATGGAGAGGCGAGCTCCAAGCTAATATGATTTGTTTGTGCTCGAATTAAACTCGCCCCCATTTTCGGGTTCTTTTAATCTCTTAGCAAAAGGCTGCAATCCCTTACGAGATCTGCCAGAATTCACTTGTTGCCTAAAACTAGATTTTTTCCTCCTTTAGTACATTGAGTTTCTTTCGAAGCAACTTGAAAAAAAAACAGGTCCTAAATGCAGGGGGAAAAAAGCAGTTGAAGAGAAATTCATTGCCTCAAGCATTTAGTTTCAAATCGTTTTTTTCATTATTGAGAGGATAATAAGAGAGATGTTTCCATAGTAAAAAAATCCAACTCTATATCCTGTTAGATTTGATTTTTTCTCAAATCTGAATTTCGATGGAAATCATGAGAAACAAGTTTTTTAAGGCCTTGATAGCAATGATTTAACATTATGGTGACAAAGGTGCCTTCTTTTTTCCCACTAAGTCTGTAGATACCCAGTAATAAGCCGTGCATAAAATACATAACGCTCTATAGTGAGGGTAGTCAAGGAGAGAGTTTTGCCATTTTGTTTGTACGTGTTTAAGGATAAGGGCATGTGTTGCAAAAGCATCAGCAAGTAGTAATACGTAGAAGGGATGGGTTGAAAAATCTGAAATTTAGAGGCACGTATTTTATGAAATGTCCCTTATAGCATATTAGCAAAAACGCTGAAATTTAACATCAATGTTGTTGCTTTTAAAAATGTGAGTTGATTGTATTTTTGTAGGTGGTTTCATTGATTTGTTGAGTTGCAAATAAATAGATCAAAACCTGTGGGGCCAATCATTCAGTAACTCTTCAGAGAGCTGACATTTACCAAGTCCCAAAATGTATCTTTTTCCTTGAGGCTTTACGTTCATCAACCAATTGCTCATAAATAGCTATGTGATTACTGAATAAGTTATTTAATTTCTCCAAGTCCATTCTTTGTCACATTGATTATTGTGGGCATCCTAGGTCTGCACTTGGCCAAGCTCACGTCACGGTGATGCCTTTTGGCGCGGATCTATGCCTGGACAACTCAATGTAAGACAACCCCACCAAGTTAAAATACCTTTGCAGCGCTGTTTTCGCTTGTTGCTTTTATTGCTTTAATAACCTTTCTAAAACATCAAGGTCATTTTGAAAGCGCTTAAAGAACACTTCAACATTTTGCTGTTTAGCTTCTCAGCATCCTCGTTCATTTTGAAACCTTATCATTTTCTAACACACCCACACTCTATCAACTACTTACCCTGTACTATTTATGAATGCGTGTGTTTTTGACATCGGTTCTAAGTTCTGTGTGTAGCCCAATTAATTTTTTTCATCTGGCTTTGAGTGCATCGTTTTCGTAGACAGAAATATTTACAATAATTTTTAACCCCTATATTTTCAAAAAATATTGAACGCTTTTCTCTGTAACTACAACAAAATAATACATGTTTTTTGGATACTTTATATTTTTTTAAATCGCATACTTTTTGTTCAGTCTTTTCTTAAATGAATAATGCAATTTTTTTGTATTTTCTCCTTCTTACTCCTTGCACTTTTCTCCTCTCAATAGTGTTTTTTTTTTTTAATTTTCTCTTCTCGCTTTCCTTATCACAAATCTTTATCCTTTGAAAAGCATCTCTTTGCCAAAATCATTAGGCCTGGTGGGAAGTAAGTAGTGCCTTAACCCTCAGTCTTCATCTTATCGATTTGATGTGGCATTTTCGTGATACTTACGACACATTGATATCTCAGGGTCAGAATTACGTTTGTGTAAGAAGTCTACTTTTAAAAGAGAACAACATGGCTACCTGAACTCTGCCAAGTTTACCCACAATGCTGAAATATTCTGTATACTTACCATATTATTCATAGAAGAAATATTTCAAATCTCGAAAATATCAAAGATTTTAGCAATTTTGGAGAATTTTCAACTTGGAATGTGGTAACATACTTGATTTGACCGCAAATTATTGTTGATATTCTTGAACCTCTGGATTAGTGAACACCAATTTGGAGTCTCTGAAGCTACAAGGTCTTTCATTCAGACAACTAATTCCTGTTTAACAGTAAAATTAAATTATCATTCTATATACTTTTTCACTCTTTATTTTTGCTTTAAATTTTCCCATCGTACTCGGTTCTTTAGCCCAGGGCCAGATTTAGAGAGAACCTTCAGGAGGAAAGTCATGGAGACGAGATGGTATATTTTGAGGCCGGTTAAGTATTATGTAATGAATTGTTAACCACCCTCCCCCTTCCCCCCTCTTGAAAGGCATTACAGGTCTTGGAGGAGAAAAAAGGAAAGATAACAACTAAATTACCTTGGAATGAAGTAGTGTTAGAATTATACTTCCAATATGAGATTTTTTGGTATCTGTAAATTTGAAATTCAAATAAAAATTTCCATTTATTTACAGGCAAGAGACTCGTTGATGCCTAAGGAAATTGGGGAAACCAAAGTTGCTGGCTCTGTTTCATTACCACCATCGCCCTCTAACAGATCGTACTTATCGTAAGTCTTCCAGTTTTATTTTGATTTCAGTTTTTGGTCTCTTATGTTTGAATAGTGATAGCGTGTTTTGATTCATGGAACAAGCAACAAGAAGGATAATCTTGGGAAACTTTTCCACACTGTAAAGAAAGCAATTATGATAATTTCAAGTTGCCAAACCAATGGAGATAAGGAACCAAGGAGTGTGTGCGAAACAGGTATAAGTACAGTCAGGGTAATTTTATCAATGCTGGATACATGTATTCAAAATATAATGCCCTTTCAATTTGGGGGCCCCCAAAAATTTTGAGAGAACATGCAAGCTTGTGTTAATTTTAATAATTTTATTGTTTGAGAACAGAGAATTTTGGAGAAATTCTGTTTGCACAAGTGCTCTCAATGCACTGATGCCCTTCAAAAAATGTAACACATGATAGCGCCTTGTCCAGCTAACCGGGAGCTGTAGCCTCTGAAACGCTGAAAAAGTATTCCTTTTTTCACATCTGAGTCAATTCTTGGAAAAAAACCCATATTTTCGTTCGGATATAAAACTGATATTGACCCTGACTTGTATGGGCTTATCCAGCTCTTTACAGCATGCAATATTTATACCACTACTGCAATACTTACTTGCACAGCTTAGACTGACAGCTGCAACTCAGATTATTCAAGCTCTGTTTAATTTTTCCTTTTTTCAGAAATGACTCACCTCCATCAGGAAATCTTGTCAATTCTGTGACTGAGCTACATCGTATCAGTCCACGCTCTGCGCATAGTGTTTCATTCCGACCTAGAAAATCCAACACATGGAATGTTGACACTGTAAGTTCCTTTAAGAAAAACATATTTTATTTTCATGGTTTTTATGTTTTCCCAATTTTTCTCTCAAATTCAGGCCGGAACTTGAGTTTTAAAAATTCTGATTGTTGAATTAGAAAAGTCTCTTGTCTTACTATGGTCGCACGGTTTCTGGCAGTCAGGAATCCGTGGAAATTAAGTAGAGGTTTTGGTCAAAGGCCAGGGAAAAATCAAGAAATTCGGAAATTTTGGAGTCTGGGAAGTCAGAAATGAGGAAAATTGAGAAATTATGAAAATTCCGTTCAGTCGATCATCTCATTTCTATCATTTTTTTTTTTTTTTTTTTTTTTTTTTTTTTTTTTTTTTTTTTTTTTTTTTTACGTCAGACATTTTTAAGCCCTTTAGTTACCATTTTGAAAGTAGCATGAAAAGCAGGTTTTTGGCACAGCAGTTAGCTTCTTTAAGAGGTAAGGATTTCCGGCTCACTAGAGGACTATTAACTGTGCACTGACAAGTTTGTGAATTGCCTAATATAATACTTAGAAAATTGAATCAAACCAAAACTAATTAAAGTTTTGAAGAAAGCAGTTATTTTCAATCATAGACGTGTCTTTGCATACTCAGTGAGGACTTAATCTTTGGAATGTGAGTCCACCCAAACAGTGAGAAGTTACCATAAAGTTCTTGTCATAAAATTTTGGTGAAAATTTTAACACCCACACCTTTATACTTACACTTTTTTGATTGCATATTTATGTTTGTGACCAAGCGCATTTGCTCGATTATCTAATAATATTAATGGTGACAAACTTACAGATCAGTGAGGATACTGCTGTTGATGATCGGTCATCAGAAACTGGGAAGAAGAAATTGATAACCACTAAGTTTGTTGATTGGTGCTGCAAACATTTTTCTCAACCTATCATGAAAACTGTTGATGAGATTGATGTGGAAAGCTCCTCATATTTTGAACGTGAATGGAGGTATATACTTACAGTAGTGTCTTTATTTGTTTAGAATTTTGTCAGAATTGAACATTTCAAGAGAGAGATTTTTTAAACCAGGTCAACTATATTCATATCTTTTTATCAGAGCCATCCATCAAAGATGAGATCTATTATTTGAGGTAGGATTTTTCATAGATGTCCTTTAGAGGTGTACTTTAAATTTTATTTTCAGATATTTACATTACCCGCAGTGGAATTTTGATGGATTGATTATTCTGTCTAGGAACAATTGATTTTGTCTTCATGCAGGAAGTTCTTGACAATGTAAGTCTTTGTTGAGCAAAGATCACTCTCTAATATTTTGGATTTTGATCATGTTTTTATCCATTTCAAAATGTATCAGTAATTTTGGTTTTTTCAGGTATCAGCGCAACGAAAATCTTCGTGAAGAAGCGAAGGAAGAGCAAGATAGAGCAACACAATGTCGCCTCGAGCATCAAATTTTTGCTGCTCGAACAACGTGCAAACCATCTGCCATACTGTTTCACCCCTATGATAGCTATTTGGTCGTAGCGTCTAAAGATGGTTTTACGTAAGCAACTCAAAAAATTTATTCTGATTAATTTTTTTTTTCCTGTTCTTTTTGACGGTTATTTTATGAGGGTCGTTTGTCTCTTTATTCTTCCCTGCCTTTCCCAAACAAATTAAATTTTATCAATGTGGGTAAAGATTTAATCAGATGACCGTAATAATTGTAAAAGTTTGAAAACTTTTTAAAAATTCCAACCATTTGGAAACTTGCGAAATTTTGGTAGAGTAAGCTTTCAAATTAGTTTTATACTCATTAATGGAATCAGCTGGTGCAAAAAATACTTATCGCCATTTTTTCATCTTTCGAGATTTTTAGTTTTAAGACTTCCACGGGCTTCAGAGATTTAGATTTGAAGGGTTTAGAGATTAGCTTTTGGACAGTATTTCATTTATAAGTTTGACCTATTTTTAATAGCTCTTGTTTGCAGTTATTTTCAAAATGAGCGAAAAAAAGACATTTATGGTTTTCACATGAGTTCATTAAATTAGCACTATCATTTTCTCTTCAAAAAAATGTTCACAGGATTTATATCATTAGACCCTGCAATTGGCCCATCAATCGTCTATTTTTCACTTATTCATGCGGCACTTGATCTGTCTGAAAAAGTTAATAAATCTGTAATTTTCAGGATGTGGGACTACAGTCCAAACCAGAATTGCAAAGTAACACAGTGGCGAGCAGAGAAGAGCATCTTGAGTCGGAACCTACCAGATATTACATCTCTGGATCTTGTCAACTCACATGATAATCCATTGCTATTAGTTGGATCAAGTGATGGGGCAGTTAGATTATGGAACCACTATGCAGCTCTACAAGGAACTGGTCAAAGAGAGCCAAAGCTTCTCTCAGCATGGCAAGCGATGCCTGACCTACAACCCCACAAGTTATCAAATTCATCAGGTCAGCTCTTTTAGAATACACAGTTTTCATCCATATACTAGTTAGAAAAAAGAAAATACACTATTTTAATCACATCGTATCATTAGCCATCTCATCTAACACTCAGGGTGGTCTTTCAATAAATAATTTAGGACATTAAGTAATTGAAAAAACCGAACTTAGGTCACAAGAAGTTTCACATTTTTTTGAAACCTCAGGTTATAGATGTTCGAAAGGCAACTGTTGTTACTTCTCAGAAATGCATATGCCCCTCCACCGGTTTTATCATAATTGGACGTATTTCTGCCCAAAGGAACTATGTTCATTAAGACATAAGCCCTGAGACCCATAAGAATACATGCATAACAGGGCTCATGTCATATTGCATATAATTTCGTTTGGCAGAAATACGTCCAATTTTTGAATCCCAAAATAATTTTCAGAATAATAAGCACAGTTAATTTACGTGTTATGATAAGCAATAGAAATGTGAATGAATTAAAGATTTAAAATATTAGACTAGCCATGTCCGGTTTTTTACAGCTTCCCTGAAGTTCCAAAGTTTCAGTCAACCAATCAAAGGCAAAGAAAGTGGGTCTATGATCTTGATGCAAACACTGAATTTGTGATGAAGAAGGCTTTGTTTTCAAGAAATGCTCTTGATGAGAATTTTGTTTTCAATACAAAGGCCCTTTAAAGATTAAGATTAAGTACTTGAATGTTGTCTTGCAGTATGCTGACGCAGCATAGACTTTTAATCCCCAAAAATACTGAGGTCTAAAACGTTCACAAATCCGATGAAATCTCTAGTCTTTCTTTCTTAGATTTTTACTGCTCTCTTCTTTGTCTGCACTTTATGTCTTTTGGGATTTCGGAGGGATTTACCTTTACTGATTTCATCTTTCTTCCTCCTTCAGCTTCCAATAATACTGGTTCTGGTCTTGTAACTTGTTGGGATCAATTGACGCAAAGCTTGTTGGTTGGTGGTGACAGCCGCTACATTCGAATCTGGGACGCAGACAAGGAGTTGAAGACTGTTGATATCCCAACGGGTGCTGACTCAAGCTTGACCAGTCTTTCACTAGGAAGCAAAGGTACTTGAAAATATGATAAGTTCCTGTGTCTCCTGTACCAAGAAACTTCTGTTAATTTCTTTTTAATACACAGTGAAGTAAGATCAAAATGATTTTCAAGGGCACGGAATACTTCACATCGGTTCAATAAAGTGCAGTTGCAGGAATGGCATTTCTCTATTGAAAGTCACATTATTTTTGTTGTAATTTCACTTTTTTCTTCGTGATATTATAAGATTGAAGTATTTTGAAAATTTCAGTATTTCATTTATAAACCTACAGGCAATTTTCTTTTTAAAAAATGAGAATATTTTTGATGGAGCACCTTGTATCCTTGTCCAGAAAAAAGGCATCTCTGAAAATTGTTCAAACACTGGAACTACAAAAAATAAAATAACCGAATAAAATAATGAATTTTGAATGGACTGTATTTTTACTTTTTTTCATTTTGAAAAGAAATGACTAAATTCTGCACAGCTGGTGTTGGAGCTAGTCTGGGTTCCCAAAGTGAATCAAAATGTTGTTTGCAATTTTTAGAATACCAGGCTGCTCAAAACCTGCTACAGAACAAATCTGGATATGTACAGAAGAGAGAGAGAGAGAGAGAAATTATTTCACTTGATTTTGAATACTAAATTTTGAAGGAAGAACCTTCTGAGAAACACAATTCATTTTTTCACTCAAGAGTTGTATGAATGACGCTTTTTTTTTTTAACTTAATTGCGCTAATTTAATTATCCATCTTTAATATAATTATGGTTCCTGTTAATTTTATGAACAAAGGAAGCAATATTGTGATCGCTGGTTGCGGAGATGGTTCGGTTAGATTGTTTGATCGTAGACTTGCCCCTCAAGATGCACGTGTCAGAACATATCGAGAACATACAGGATGGGTGCTCACTGCACAGCTGAGGAAAGATGGAAAAGGAGGACTCATTAGTGGATGGTAAGGAAATGATATTACAGCTGAATTTTCCTCTGTTTGATTTTGCAGTTACTCATTTTGAACAAAGATGTGCCTTCTTCAGTATAAACCCACTTTCAATAATCTGAGAAAAAATTTTCCTGAAGGACTTTAGCTGCTCATAGATTTTTTTAGAAGCCTGGCAAATGTTTCTAGATTTTTACCGTCACAAGCAGAAAGAGCAGCTTAGAAAAACACAAATATCAGCCATTGCGGCACTCCTCTTCAATTTATGGAAGAAGTGAGTGTGAAAAAAAATCTTGGGTAGCCACAGGGTTTAATTTAAATGTATCAAAAATTCCTGTGGAGCACATTCTCAGATAAAGATCAGAAGAATCATGAAGAATTGACAACATTTTCCAATGTTCCTTCCTAAGCGTTTAAATCATTTTTTAATTGTGACTTTTGTGTCAACTTTTTCACCATTTTTTATTTACCAATTAAATGTTTGTTCTCACAGCGTTGCTGGTGACGTTCGTTTGTATGACATCAGACTCAATTCATCAGTTAAAACAATCAACACATCACACGGCATGACTGCAATGTCTGTGCATCAGGGTGCAAAATTATTTGCGTGGTATGTTATTTTTCAAAATCTAAATGCAGTTAAGAGATTATTTAATGTTGGAGCAAGCTTGCAACTAAAGCTGTGCAGTTAATTGAACTCAAATGGTAATTGCGTGAAAAATTACTTGTGATACATTTGCCTGCTCACAAAATTTTGAATTCTAAATTCCCTCTGCATTCCCTCAAATTTGTGTCATTTCTCCAAAACTTATTTTGCAGCCAAATCTTTTTTTATTTCTTAGAATTTTGCAACTTTTTTCATCGCATAAGATTCTTCAGGCACATTGTAGGATTATTGTCATTTTGGGGGCATAAAGTTCAAAATCTTTAAAGATTCATAACATATTCAATGATTGAAAAACTTAGCATTGCAAGTCTCTTACACCCTTTTACCCAAATAGTCCTCAATTTTAGGCTCTTGCCAGAGTTTTATCATCAATCTGAAGGTTAATGCACTTAACTGCCACTTACATTTACATGGATACTCTTAACGGCTTTGTTTTCTGTCTTTTACTTTAGTGCCAGTGTCAGTCAGTTTCTCTCAACGTACAACATGGAGGGGTCGCTTGTATACTCTTTCAAGACTGGGGCTCACGACTGGTTCATGGGTCATGTTGTTATGACACCATTTTTCTCTCCAGCCAGTTGTGTTGCATTTCATCCACACCGCGTCCTTCTGGCCTCAGGATCTGTCGACACAAACGTAGCAATTTATAGTACTGACCCAAAAAGATGACACTCGTACACTTCTTTGTTGACTAACTAGCTGTTTTTGTTATCTGCATCAAACTAACGATAGTTATTTGATGTTTGAAGTTGATATTCAAGGCATTATGTGTACCTGAGTCTTCGAAGATCGAAGAAATCAAATTCCTACTTATTGAATTTTCCTTCAAGGAACCTTGATCATTGGCATGTAAAGATGTGTTCTATGTTTCTCTACAAATCAGGGTATCTTTTAGTCTAACTGAAATATTTTGCTGACTGTTAGCGTTAATGAACAGTTAATAATATTTTACCATTCTCAAGATTGAGGATTAATCGTCAAGTTTTATGAGCCAGCTATTTCTGCCATGATTAAGGGATTTAATGATTTTTCTGGACAAAAAAAGATAAAGAGCGCGTAAGGAATTTAAGCATAGAAATATCATTTTATCGGTAAACTTCTTAGGAATACCCCCTTGTAATAAAAATGTCCCCGGGTTGACGCAGACGCTCTGATGCAGACTAATTTTGTGTATCACTTTCAATTAAGAGGCTCAAAATTAAGAGAGCATTAAAACACCATTGTTAGTACTCAGTGATCACATCTATTTTTCCAAATAGAATTTGTCTCCTTAAATTGAAATTATTTGAAAATTTCTCCTTGATTAGCTCATATTCAAAAGTTAATCATTGCCAACTATGGACATTTGAGCCAAGATGAGAGAGATTCCTCAAAATACGTATCTGAAACTACCAAAGGCCTACATTCAAAATGGAAATGATTTAAATGGCTTTTTTAAGTAGCTGTCCATTGTTTTTTCCAATATTTAGTACTGACCCCTTAAAAAATACAACATTGTAATAACTCCTTATGTATTTACGGGAAATGTAATTTAAGCAAAAGGAACATTAAAAAATTCAGCAACTGTCTGAATTTTTTTTTAGAAAACTCCAAAATGTTGTGATTTATCCCTCATGTAATTACTGTAACTTTAATTTGAGTACAGAGGAACATTTGATATTACAGCTGCTTACAAGCTTTCTTACCAAATCCCAGAAAATCGAGAATCTTCTGATTTAATTAAGCCAATTGTTTTAACTGTCTATCAGGAAAATGAATTTATATTTTATTGCTTCTTTTACTAAGGAAAGAGGACAATCTCAAGCTTCCAAAATTTTCTTTCAGTGGTGACTTCAGTTTCAAAATTTAAAAAAACGAGAAAGAGATTCAGCATTGTGGAGCCACTATGGTGTATCACAAGAAGAATTTCAGCAGGTTTTTCTAGATGATCTTAATTTCCTTATGAAACAATATTGTAATAAAATAAACTTTCAATTCTTAAAAAGATTTGATAGAAAATTCCACAGTCTACTGTAAAAAACCTTTAGAGATGAGTTCAAGAAAACCAAAATTAATAGTTTTCATGATACGTCTATCGCAATTCTCTTGTGTCTCTCCCGTGTAAGGGTTGAGTTTAAACTTAAGGGGTTGACAGACATGTGTAGGTGCCAGGAACTGACTGAGAAAATGACTTTGAAAAATATTTGATGTGCATCAAACCTACCAATCTTACTCTATAATTAATAAAATCATAAGAGTAACACAAAACAACTGAGGCGCAAAGCGCTTTGAGAGGTTAGACCGCTAAGTGGTTAGGACTTAACGAAAATTGAATGAAAAGAAAAAAATAGAAAATGGATTTGTTTAATATTTTGTATACATCCTTAAAGTATCAACCGTATATCTCGGGATAATTTGAATTTGTACATTGTGGTGTGCCTTATTGGATGGAGCCTCTGAATGGAAATTTCAATCAGCCTCTTCCATTAAACGTTTTTAGTGTGAAAAAGCTTGACAATTAGCATCTATGCTTTTGTATTGTAATTAATCCTGCAGTTTTTTCTTCTTTTTTTCTCTTTTTTTTCATATGAAAATTCTAGTACTGAAAGTGACAGCCAGATTCTGCACTCACTCAATACAGTCAGAAAGTATCTTACAAGCTTTCGTGGATTTCGAATCATTTTATCTTATAAAAATAGTGCTAAAGAACTTATCTCCTTGTCTTATAAAAATTTTGTATCTTTGGTTAATCAATTGTGTAAAACATTTTACGGCCAAGCAGGGCCACTCAAACAAGGGGCAATGTCCCTTTTACTCTGAAGTTAAGGGTGTGGACGAGTCCTTTAATGTTTGGCTACTGAAAACCAGGCCCAAAATTAAATGTCTAAAGCAGTCCTATAAGACATCGATTTGCGACATAGGTATTTTATGGCCTTTGTCTATTCTTGTTGTACGGCCATCGTTTCAACAATTGAGCTGCAAGAACAGCCTCAAGAAACTGATCTGTATTCTTTAGATTCAGAATAGATGGAAATAGTGTGCAACTGGTTCCTCAATAGCTCCAATTTGAAATTTTTAATTTGTAAAACTCTTGAGGACCCTTCTTTGCCATTAGAGATTGCTGCCCAATCTGAACCTAACTTTGCTTGGCTTGTGATAGTAACTATGCAACACTGTCGGCGGATCATGCAGAGAGTTAACGTGACCTTTGATTACAAGAACTTGCATTACAAGTTTCTGCCAAGCCTCCTACAAGGGCGTAATATATTCAATGCAAAATTCCGGATTTTTTGACTGTCCTCCTTGTAACGCTTTTGTGACGTAGGTCCCTTTCTTTTAAGACTTAAAATCAAAATGGCGTGACGCTCTTCTTGAACCCTTCTAGAGCGTATTTTATGAACGGTTCCTCGCTATGATTGTGTGTATGGTCTGTACAAATCCACACGACATATTCATCTATGTAAGCACAACATTATGTTAGCGTGTAACCTTGCGAAAGCTTTTGATCAATCAAATCCTGTGCTCAAAACGGCCTCCTATTTTTAGAGTTCATAGTTGTAACCATTTTGACCATTGCAGTGAGTTACCAATTTTTGCCATAATTTTGTAGTTAGATTTATTTTTTATCTCTGTGATTCACTATTTTTGTGAGAAATGAAGGGAAAAGAATTTAGTAGGTAGTTATCTCTATGGTCGTAGTGTAGGTTACTTAGTAGTTAGCTTTCAAGGGTACCTAGTAGTAATAATTGTAATATTTCTGGGGAACATATTCCTGCTAACTTCAGCAGTCTCACATTGCATCGGGCAAATCTGCGTGACATTCGACGTAGACTAACGGATATCTTTCAACTGACAGAACCATCATACACAAATTGACTATGAAACTGCAAAAATGCGTACTGTGATTGTGTTGTTTCAAAATCTTTGTTCCTATTTTATTTCTAGAAGGAGATCGAACGAACCAAACGGTTTGAAATTTTCACTGAAAATTTTTCACATAGAGAAGAAAAATCAGCGAAGTTTTCAAGTTTTTTCAAGAATTGACACTGAAAAGTTTTCAATGTAGGAAATAAATGATGACAGAAATGTGCAAAGCTGCAAACTGAGGTATGCATGTCTGCAGTTTCACTATAGATACTTTATTGTAATGTAGGTCAGTTCTATTGTATCAAATTTTATTTTTTTAAAAATATTTACAGCATGACAAAATTTAAATACCTTGAAGTATGAGGGAAAAAATTTTTGTCAAGAAGCACACAATGGAAAATGTTTGACTCTATCTATCTAACTTTAGACCATAAGTTCATACCATGATACCGTAAGAAGAAATGTGATTGTGAAATTTCTAATCACCGTTTTAGCTGCACACGAAAACTATCCAAAATAGGACTGATCAAATCAGAACTGCCCAGATAGTCCGTCTGTTTTGCTTAATTTAATTTTAGTTTGATTTTTCTACGTTTAAAAGTAGATGTGCATCAAATTACTTTGATTTTGATCCGTACAGTACTTTTCTTCCCTGGAGGCTTTCAAACAAACCATTTTCAAAGTGTAAATTTCCAATTCCACACACTTATTCATTAATTTATATTATCAGTTATTGGGAAAAAATGCAGACATGTTCCAGTATAATTAAGTGTCTGTCATTTGAAACATAATTATTTATCCTTTGATATGGCTTATCCATGACAAACAAAGTAAAAATATATTTCATTGAAGTTTTATAAATTCCATAAATTTGTCACCATTATTCAAATGAAGCCACTAGTCTTGCTAGCTTTGGCGCCGAATGAGTTTGAAAAATTCATGGCACGCATTTCTCACTGGGATCGATGTAACCCAACATTTGGTGCATAGCTATGCTGATGACTGATTTATAAACTTTAAGCACACATCGGTTTCGATGTTAATTTAGAACTTTCGATACATACCTCGTTGAGGCTGACTTAAGTGCCCTTAGTTCGTACCAGAATGAAACGCATGTATGCTCTGAATGTCACCTTCATCAAGCCAAATAAGAGGAATCATTTCTTTGTCGTTTCAGAGTTAATATTGGAAGTTCATATTTACCTCCTCTTGTAAAAAAAAAAAATAATAATAATAATACAAAAAAAAATTAATTCTTTAAATTGATTGTTGTTCATTTCCCTCCATTGTTTTTTGTAATTTAAATTATTGTTTTGTTTAAGAAACATCAGTTCAATCCAGAGGCAAAAAGTCTTAAAGTTCATAAAAATGGATTTTAGGACCATAGTTCCATTTTTTATTCTTAAGGGTCTGTTATTTTATTAGAGCAAATGAATCTAAACCTCTCTCCCTGTAAAAATTGTAAAAGAAAGAGACTGGATCATCTTGTTAAGTGTTAGTTGCTTTTTTAATTTGTACATGGTGTTAATAAATATGTTTCCTATTACATAAACCTCAAATCTAATTTTTGTTTTTCTATGATGTCTGTAAAGTTCCTCTATTCTCCGATCAGTGAAGAGCACTTACTAGGTCAAGCTGGGAATATTTCTGGACAGCGTTTTTTTTTTTCTTTTTGCAAATGTTGGCTATCTTGGAAGCCAAACCTGGGCCAAGTTTTGAGCTTGCTTTACAATGTGAAACTTCAATAAATTATTCCTACTAATCATACTAATCCACCGACCTACTAGAATTTTGGGGAAACTTTCTTTGTACAGATGCCTTAAGTATATTATTCTCCTGTAAAACATGCGTTTACTTTCTGTACACAATTACACAATGAAAAAAGAAAAGATAGGCATGAAATCTGCACCCAAGTAACCGTTGTGACATGGTGATAGAGTGTAAAATATGTAAAAATACAAGCTCACTTGATAACCTTATGCACTCATCATAACAGACCTTTTTGAGATGTCTTTTGAACCCAGCAGGGTTGCCATTTGCAAGGCCCTAACACCGATTTACCGTATTTTCCAGACATGTCCTCAGCCTGGACCTATTAAAGCTGATTTTTCGCTTTTTATCTGAAAACTCCCTGTTATGATTTGTCATTTGTAAAGGTAACACGGAAACAGAGGAGGCAATTTTTCCCTGATATTATTAAGACAATATCAAAATCATTAAGTTTGTTTGCAGGGCAAGTGACAGGGGTATAAAGGGTCTGTCCCTGTTCGACCACTAACCCTTTATGGCATTGTGTTACTTTTTTGTAGCAACAAATCTTTGCTTCTTTTTGGTTTTTAGTGCATTTTTTTTAAGAGTTAAGTATTTCTCAGTGGAAGATGTTCTAAATTTGTATCAACGTTTTCTTTTTCAAAAAAATCATCACCAAAATTTTTAAACTTTATGGACAAATTTGGGACTATATGTTCTTAAGAATGGTACAGCATAGATGTGTCTCCCAGCATCCGGAACACAGAATTAATTCATGCCATAGAGGTTTAGAGCCTACATTCTACCCTAAAAGACTTATTATAATCTTTGACTTTTCAATCTTCAAAGTATTTGCAGGAAAAGTAGAAGTCGAGTTGGATGAGTTGGTAGTTGTTTACTTCGACTGTCACATGCATTAAATTTAGCAACACCTCTTTAGAGGAAGGTATTGGTTTTCAGTATCTGCACACAATGGCAGCATGGCTTTGTCGTTGCACCTGGTCCATCCTTGAAAACCATTAAACAGTGGCAGAGCAGTCGTTTGCATACAGAAAGCAAACAACTGCCAACTTATCTGAAAAGAGTTCTAACATGCAGAGCTTAACCATCATAATTATGATTTAGTTTTTATGAAAAAAGGCAGCTTTGAAGACTTATATTATAGTTCAATTTGGATCGTTATTACTTTTTCCCCCTCCCTTATAAAACTAATGCTCTCGGGATCAATAGATAAATGAAGAGAAAGAGTAATTTAAATTAAAACAAATTAACAATTTATTGAGAAGATATCACTAGTAATACAATGGACAATATGAAAGTATTATTTACACTCATTTAGAATGCTAAAAAGGATGACAGTAAGTTAAGCTTAAATGAAAGAGTCATATCTCAATGAGACATCTTAACAAGGACAGCTTTTCAAACAATCAACACTCTCTACTTAGAACAATTATGGATCACAAGACCCATCGGTCCAACCATCACGCCACCTCTCATTGACGCGACTGCAATCAAACAAGGGCTTCCCCAATCGGTAGTTTACATTGTTGTGTGCCCAACAAAGCCATTGTGACAGTGATTCTTGTGAAGTTGTGACTGGAGGACGAATTGATATCCTTAAAGAGAAGAAAATTGAAAGATAATTAATCAAAAACAAAATCTTGAAACTTATTTAATAAAATAAAATATTGAGGATTAAGTTTCACAGTTTACCTTATGTCCTTTAAATCTGCCAGTAAGCATGCAAATGGCAATCCTACCTTCCTCATTTAGGACAGATTGAGTAATTATCTTTGGCAAACATTGGAAGTCTTTAGTGCACAGTAAATTTCAGAGCAGAGAGGGCAAGGCCTTGTCTCCACGGGACGTTTTCATGGGATTTGTCCTAAGTTCGAATCGCAGGAATGAAACTTCTGGGATTTTTCCCAGTTACCGTCTCCACGGGACAGGGCTTATACAGTCCTGCGACTAGTTTGCGCGGGAAGATAAATTAGTTATAATCGAGTATTTAACCGGGATTAAAATAAAAATTGCACTCAATTGACAATCAGACACAGTATTTTAACTAAACAAACATGAACAATGCAGTAATGAATAAAATATTGCATAATTCGTTTTCACTTCTTCTTCTTCTCTCAGTGGGTCCTAGGGATACAAGTACCATACTTGGTGCTGGGAAAAATGTTGATTAACTCAATGTTTTTCCCAACTTCGTAAGTGGGATTTTTCCCTGGGACAAATCTCGTGAAACGGCTCGAGGAGACAAGGCCCATGGACACATTTCTTAAAGATACCCTTGAATGAAAATATTTTCGCGCTAAAGTACATGGACATTTAAAAAAAGGAGAGAAAATATAAATGAAGTACTGGTAATACAATAAAGAACTTACATATCTGAAAAATCTTTTGCGCATGTTTCACAAGGATAAAAACGGGAGAGGAGAACAAAAAATTTTGACATATCTTTGCGCTGCCGATCTGTTGGATGATCTGGATAGTAAGCAGCCATTGTATGCAATAATCCCCATGTTTGGTAACCTGCAAAAAAGAAGTAACATTAAAAACATGCATGCAGGTTAGCTTGCAATATTATTTTCTTTCCAGCATGAATCAGTAAAATATAATTAACAATAATAAGGAAGATTTCAGAAAAGACATTTTTGTATGGTTCGAAATATTTACACATTAAATGATAAGTTTCTTGGTGAAGGTCAATTTGACCTTAGTATAATGATTCCCGTTTTCTCAGGAGCTGGAAGTTTGAATCAGGTTTCCCATAAAATTTTAATGCGCTAACAAAGCTTGTAGTGGTTCAATTCTAACCCTGTCTGGTGGTCCATATTGTCCATGTAGAATCTCATAGGGAGCGAATTTGCAAAGACTTTCTCTCACCAAGATAAAAAGAGCCTCTGAGCACTCAGTAAATTATTATCCATCAAGTGGCTTCCTACATGATGGCTGACAACTGGAATGTAGTTTCCCTTACCTAGTTGATCTTTGTCCAGAGGACAGTTATTTCCTAAGATATGTAATTGCGACTTTGTTGCTGTCATTGGATGTTCAGCCGTCCCATTTTGACTAGTCTGCAACAAAGGTAAATGTGATAAAGAATTAAATCAAAGTAGAGTCCACACCAAGAAAGTTTTAACACTTTTGTACTGAAACAGAAAGTTTGTCATCTTGATTTTTGTATTTTCTTTTTATGATACACTAAAGACAATGCCTAGATCTTCAGCAGCAGCCTACAACTGTTAAAACTTGGTTGACCTAAGTTGATTGAGTAAGGAAGTACTGCGGTGTAAAATGTACATCAAATGCAATTTTCAAGTTTCTGTCATTTTACAATTATCTTCATTTGGGACATGCTTATCTAATACAGTAGGTATCTCAAAAATTGACATAAGACAGGAATGGGTAGGACCTTTGATTTAAGGAGAGCATTACTTAAATATACAATTTAGTTTTAGCCTTCTCAGGATTACCTTATACTTTGAGTCCAGACACAGATGAGAATAAATATTGCTTGCATCAGTTTAATAAATTGTACACAGAATATTCTCATAGAAAAAAAAAAAAGGAGGTGTTCGCATCTTGAAGATTTTTTACCCTGTGATGTGGGTAGGTACAATATTGCATCGATATTTCAGCAAAATCCGAAATTAGAAGTATGAAAGACGGACCATAACATCCGTTCTTTTTCTGCTTAGAGCAACTTAAAATTTACTTTAAAACACTTCATATAGAATAATTTTTTTCCCATAAATAACATCATTTCTAAGAAAATTGATGATAAAAGCCATCTGCACAGAACTCATCAACAAGATCCAAGATCCCCGAAATGCGACCACCTCTTTTTTCCTCTATTGCACATTCTGAAGAAAAGAGGAAAAAGTATTGGTTGAAGGTTTAAAGTTTTATTGTTGGATGTTAGAGACTCGCAACAAAATAGAAAGCTCTTCTAGAATAGTAACAGACCAGGATCCTCGTTGATGTTACCTTAGTGTATCGGCAAGACAAAAAATTCATTTGAGAAGGGAAATAAAAGTCACGCTACTTACAGAGGAGGCCATGCTTCATAAAACGTAAAATGATGACATTTAAACTAGTCAATTCCTATCCTGCTTAATTATATGGAATGAAAAAGGTATTCTTAGCCACTGACAAAAACACAACACTTGTGCGAGGGGCAGACAGAATTATGATGATGAGGTTAAAACTGTCAGCTGATGGCATTTTGTGAGTGAACATCTGACAAAAATTTTCAAAGGAAGGGTGGGGTATATTGTCAACATTAGTAATTACATACAACAATGCTGTGTAGGTGAGGTCGTTGCTTTTGCCCTTTGCTTTCTAGACGGTAGGAATAGAGCCAATGATTCTTAGTTGAAGTTAGGAAATTTCTTTTATAAGGCCCTAAGTAGGAGACGATAGACATTGCCGCATTTGATGATCAAAGTTTTCGAAAAAGTTACATCAGAAAGTTAGTAAGCAATAATAGTGTATTCCAGTGGCAAACTCATGATTCCAATAAAGACGTAATTATTAACTAAAAGTTATTTCTTCCTAAGAACCAAGAGAAAGATAGTGTTCTCAAAAGTGGGGAATGTCTACAGCATTAGTGATTTAATACTGCGTCGGGTGATACTTAGAGTTGTCCAAAGGAAAACAGATTCCTAAAGAGAACAAAGAAATGAAAATACTGGAAAAAGGTCTCTAGGTACTGCTACGATAAATTCAACGGTGACAAGATAAGGAGGGTGTGAATGCGTAACCCATTACGACGTACCGTTGAATGTCAGTGGTAAGACCCCTTGACCAAGTCTACTACGCCAGAGAAGATAAATCAAATGCTTGAGAAGCAAATACTTACCTCAGACTCCGGGGAACCTTTCGAATTCGGTTTTCCCTTAGTGTAGCTGGTCTGAGCTTTCGCCCAACTTTTGAAATCCGTGCAAGCTCTGCATGGGGCTGCAGTGCTGTGTTTATTGTTGGAAGTGAAGTGGTTGAAAGCCTCAGTTTCAGGGGTATCCACAGGCTCATATCTTGATTTTTCCCTGGACGTCGGCATTGCTGTCGAAAATAATAACAAAATATGACACAGTTCAAAAATTTCAATTACCACACTGCTGAAACTAGAGTAACTCTGCTGGTAAACGTGAGTAGAGAATGATGATGATGAAATTCATGAATATGATATGAATAGAACCAATACAGAAGGTGGTGACAACGTTGACTTCGACAACGCAGCTAACCTAAAAAATCGGCAAGTTCGAATGTGAAATCCAAATCGCGTCAAATTGAATTGTATCGATTAAATTTATTATCAATTAATAATTTGTCTCGTCGCCTTGTGGAGTGTTAATTTAATTAGGGATCTTCACTTCGCATTTGCGGAGACAGCTCAGATTTTTATTTTTGTTTCCGTTTTTGTGTATTTCTAAAGATTTTAAGTAAGTACTTAGGTTGATTACTCAGCTTTATCATCATTATTGTTCTCAACGTAAGTTTTCGTTGTTCTGTGAGAATATACATTTCAGTTTTTTCATTTGCACTGGCACTACTTAACAAAGGCTTAAGTCACACATTGAGCATTAAATTAGGAGAGCTAATCTGATGTATCAACTACCTTCGCCGTCCTGCGTTGACTTGTCACGTCGCAGATCAGCATTTCATTTTGTTCTCCAGTGCCTGAAACGTTTTATTTATTGTGTATTGCACACTAATCACCCATAAAATACCACGTATATGTAATATACCTCTCCACAGCTTCCATGTTGTAGGTGTTCGTACAGCTTAAAATATTTGTAAAATCATTCAAGGACTTGCTAGGGTCAAGGTTTACAAGGTAATTCCTAGAGAATATTACCGCTGCTAATTGCTTTGACTTCTTGTTATCTGCCCACTTACTTTTAGTCAAGTGAGGCACTCAAAGTCTGCTGTCATATGTATCATGAAGATCCCGTGTAGATGATTTAGGTGAGGAAAACATGTCTCGGTCTTGTTTTCGGAGGCTTCAGGTAGTAGAGTTTGTATGGGAGGAACTGAGGAAGTCTCATTTTTTGTGCTCGTGCAATGCTTGTCAAACTCTTGACATCTTCTCTGAATTTTTCTCAAGGCTGCAGTATATTCTGTAATGTTGATCTTTACTCAGAATGAGAGCGAATTCAATTTCTACAGGCTGATGTTGCATTTACTGTTTTCTCATAGGTGAATAAAGCAAGTGAGCCCCTCATTTTTTTGATGATGTATCGGAATGGATTTGTAAGGAATTGTAAAGAATTTGTAAAGAATGGCTCAGAATTCAAATTTTTAGAAATGAAGAACAACGCACTTACTTAATTTAATTCAGGTCATATAATTCTTGGTTTTCAAAATTCTCAAGGATAATTACTTTGCCCTCTAAACTTTGGTCTTTGCTTGGAATCCATTCTTATCACATTGTTTCTTTTGAAAAAATCTAAGAAATACTTTCTTGACTTGTTATTTTAATTTTTCCATTGTAACTTTTCTCCATCTCTGTTTCAGTTTTGTGGATGTACAAAGTCAGCCATGAAGTATTATTATCTAGTCACCATTTTATTTTCTCTTATCTGCTACCAAATATTAGCAGCTGTGCAGTTTAGAGAGGATGTAGAAGACAATGAATTTGCAGAGTTTGAAGAGTTTGATGAGGAAGAAGTAAAATCAGCGAAGCCATACGTGAAAGAAGCGCCACAAGCTCGGAAGATCGAGCAAACGATCGAAGAAGGAAATGACTTCAATGAAGATGATGTTGTTGTAGAGGTAAAATTTCTATTCATAAATTGTTCTTTTTTTCCATGTAACAAAAAGGGGCCAAAGCCCAGGAAAATAATCATTAAAGTTGAAGTTTCTTATTGTTTTTTCAAACTCATTTCTCATAATTCGCTGTTGCTATTATAAGTTTTAATTATTTACATCAATTGCGTCTATGGCAACTCTCTTCATCCAGAACTATCTTCAATTCCTTCAGAATAATAAACACAATTTTTCCGCCAAGTATAATTTCTTAAGATATCTACCTACTCGCCCGTTTTCTTCTCTCAAGCTTGGAAATGTGAAGGGAGAAAAATCCATAAAAAACATTTTTCGATTTTTCCCTCTCGCTCATAGAATTTTTTTTTGTTTCAGGATGATGAGAGTGAGATTGATCATTTCAACGATGATGAAGAGTTCGAAGGGTTTGATGGTGCAGATCCCTCAACTAAGTCAAAAGAAGCACCCAAAATCACCATTACAAATGTGAGTATCATTTCATAATTATTTGTTCCCAATTAAAATAGGTATAATAATTTATGAAGAAACTTTCTCTTCTGTACCTGTTATAAGTAATGTTGTAAGGCTGTGTTAAGGCTGTAATGTTGCTATTAACCAGTCTTCAGCGGTAGTATCAAAATTTGTGGACAACACCCAAACACTTGAGTACTGTTGACATCTCTCATATTGCTGCAGGTAATGTTTAAAATGAGTTTAAAAATTCCTCCTTTTTTTTTGTGTCGTGTGATTTATCTAAAAATGTATTTTTTTTGGTGTTTTATAATGAGACTAAAAAAATGCATAAAGGATAAATTTATTTATCATCAACCAAAATAAAGTTAACACCTGATTGTCAGCAAAAATGAAATACGAACGTTTGTCATCAATTATAATTACCCCTCCTCGCCTGCATCTTCACCTATTTCCTCTTTTCCTCCGCAAGGTTACTGCATTGCCAATAATATGTAACAACTTTGAGACATCAACCCGATAATTCCAGACAAGGAAATTTCGATAGTACCTAAGAGTCTTTAGGAAACGTTATGTCATTGATTTCCTTTAATTTCCCCTTATGTATTGTCAATATAACCTAAGGCGACTGGTTATAATCAACACTACTCTTTCCTACTACATCAAATGTAAGACTCCTGTCTTATGTTTTCCGTAGGGTCCAAGTGTATTTTAAGTTTATTGGCTTAGAATATTCCTCTTTTCTGGTTTTGTCTCCTAATCGATACACCACGTCATTTACGTATGTAAGGAAGAAGAGATAGTAAAGACTCTATTAATTTTCTGAATACTATCTGATATTTATCATGTATTAACGATTTTTTCATTTTTAAGTTGAGTGCTGAAATAAATTGTTTACAAAAGCTTTCATTCATCACAACAAACCCCATCTTTCATCAAATTTGTGAAGCACAAGTAATGTTATTTTAAATTTTTCCAGGTTCCTTTGCATTTAAGAACAAATTTCAATAGTTTTTATCTGGAAATTCTCATGATCTCTGGTCTAGTCATTTATTTCCTCAACTTTTTTACGGGGAAAAGTAAAAATATCAAGATAGCAACATCTTGGTTTGAAACACACAAGTCCTTGCTGAAAGAAAATTTTACCCTTGTTGGTGAGTGTACCCTACAACCAAAAACTTTATTATTCTTATGGCTATTTGAAGCTTAGGCTGACAGGAAGGTGAGAACACCAGAAAAATTGTGGTCAGCCAGTCGATATTTAAAGTGATTATCGACTGGTTTGCCTCCTTCTCAGAGTAAAGAAAAAACACCTGAATTAGACAGATCTGAGCTCGTGGTCATTGTTTCTGCGTCAGTCTGCCCATGGCCGGAGAGTTATCCTTATTTTGGTTCATTTTCATAGCCTGTGAATTTTTCTATTGAAACGTTCCGCTAAAATTCTAAACAATTGAAATTTTATCTCTGTAAGCTCATTTCCTGCCAATTGTCATAAATCAAAGAAGCATCGGAATTTACTGTCCTGATTGAATCCGAAAGTTTTAGTTCATGTATTGTGATGAGTGCGTTGTAAATTCTCGCAAATAGTCAAAAAGCACTTTTAGAGCAAAAAGCACTGAAAACTTTTTTAATTTGAAATTACCAATTATATTTTGAAATTATTCAGATTAATAAGATTTTACCAGTTTGATGTCAGCAAAATGAATTTTCGAATCTGATTTTCAAACCAAGCAATCAATAATGACAAATTTGTAACTTCATAAATCACAGTTCTTAATTAGTTATCACTCATTCCTGTAAAAAAATATTTCTTCCTATTCTCTGTGGGTATGGAATGAGAAAAAGATACCGCCAATATTTTTAATTTAATTGATATTCCTTCAGGAAAAATATGATGGATGTATTTTTTGTAGTTCTATTTTGATTTTTCATCATGAGTTGCCTTGTGCTAAGTTGTTTTATGTCTTTGATTTATACAGGGGATGATGGGAAGGTTGAAATGGAAAGTGAAACATTGATTAAAGAGTCAGACAGTGTGTTTACATTATGGTGCAGTGGGCGAACATGCTGTGATGGTATGCTTGTCGAGCTAAAGTTAATCAAGGTAACCTTTTGCCGTAATTTACAGCTTTTTTCAACATTTTTGTCAGTTTGTTAAACTACCTTTTTTTAAGTCGGCTCTTGCAGAAAATTCACTGAAATTTGCACAACTGTTTTCGTGTAAAATATTAAAGTGCCCAATTAGATTTGGCAATAGCTGATGAGGCTTGGTACCTTTCTGCTTAATGCCATCCAAATGTACTGTTGCTGGTTGGCAACTCTCAAGGAAGCATTGCCTAAACTTTCCTTTGAAATAACCCATGTAGCTTGGTCTTTAATTATTCTAGGTCATTATAGTTGGGAAGAATTTTATCTCCTGAGAACTATCGAAATTGGTTCTGTAATTTAAAATTCTGGTTTTGCTTTATTTTGCATATCCCAATAGCGTCAAGATCTGGTGGCTGTCATTGCAAATTGGATGAGACCATCCAATGATCAAATTCACGTTCGCATCGATGTAACTAAAGAGGATATGGATTCATTTGTTCTTTGTATTGCCAACAAAAAAATGGCAACCAAGCTGTCAAAAGAAATGAACGATTTGGTAATTATTGAATTCACTTCTTTTATTTGAATCTCCTAAGTGTGGAAGTTGAGTGTTCACTGTACAGTGCCCTTAAATGTTCCCAGAAACAATATTGAGCACAATTTTACAGATATCAATTACAAAATGCTTAGGTGTCAATAAGCACATATTTTTTAGACATCCTGAAATTTATCTGTACATTTCAGATAAGCTAAGAGCCAAACTGCTCGTGGAAAATTTAATATTGTTACCTATTTAAATCTTTTTAGAGAGGTAAAAGGGCTCATACCCTAAAGATGTGTCTTCTCAATCACTGTGTCAGTAACAAGGACAGTCGATAGTCACCACAATGTTGTCGATTACCATCATTTGTCAATGACAATGAGAATGACAGCTGTGAAAAATGAGCTATTTCATTTAAGAAGAAATTGGTTTAGCTTCAAATATCTCCCAGACTCCCACACTTATTTGCTTTTAGACTTTACTCTAATCTAAAATTTTGGTAATGATACCTTAACTTTCATAGATTCATACCATAAAGTCAATTTTCGATTACTTGGACTTGAACCCTTTTAGAAATGACTGATTAACATAAGATAGTACCTGCTCCCTTGTCGAATTACCTTTTTATTTTTTCATTAAACAAGAACTGATAATATAACAAAAATATAATTCCTCTCTTTCATTTTCCAGAGCATTTATTGCCCAGAACGAAAACCAGGGGACAAGTTCCGTCTCTCTAATAATTTCAATGTAATGAGTGAAATATCAGAGGCAACCAATGGAATTTTGGACTCCAAAGTAACCAATACCCTCAACACGTTTGCAAAATACATTGACTGTATCCATATCTCTGATCAATTCAGTGGACCAAAACCAACTGAGTAAGTACATATGCTGTCGAATTTTTTTTAAAAAAAAACCACTTCACTTATCAATACTTCATACCGACTGATTCCTGACCCATGATTTACTTTGAATTAGTCAGGAAAGAGTCAAATGCTCCATGCAATGTAATCTTTGCAGTATCTGTAATGTGTGTGTTTTTTTTCTTATATAAGACCCGATGCACCCAGTTGGAAGTCCATGAACCTTAATCGAACAGATGAAATGGGAATCAGCCTAATTACATTTGACGTTGCCTACCTCCTCTCATTTTTCAATTTCCAAACGGACAACTAAGCAACATAATGCCTTGTAACTGTCTCTGAATTTTCCTTGAGTTATTAAGAGTATATACTTACAGAATTTCAAGGCAGAACGCTGCTTAGTTTTCTGGTAAAAAAAATAAAATGTGGGGAGAAATAAGATCTTGTCTGATGTAGTTAGGCCAATTCCTGTTAATTGCATCAAGTTTCACATATCTGATCAATTTATCTCTCCTTTGATAGTTGAGAAATTTGGCTGAAATTAGATGCAGAAAACACGAAAAAACAGATTGAATAAATTTGTGTTATTATAAAGAGTTGGTGGCTCCCATTTTTTTAATTCATTTTTTAAAAGTACAAAGTGAAATGAGCTTCTGGGAATTGTTCCAAATTTTTTTGAATCCTAATCGGCAAAGATATCCCTTTTAAAAATGTCACAAATGGGATCAGTTTTAAACGATATTTTTGGCAGGCTCTGATGATGTAGCCAGGTGGGAGAAACAGTTTTGGCTGATCGCGTGAACACAGTTTCAGGCTTCGCCTTACTACTCCAACCCTTTTGATGGCTTTTGATCGGTCGGATTTTTATTAGCTTTTTCTCCTGTTTGAAATGCTCTTTTGAACTTTTTAATTAACTTTATTTTTTCTGAAAATTTTATCCAGGATAATTATACATACCACAAACCTGTACAAATTTCTTGCCACTGCCCCATTTATAATTGAATGCCATGTCCATCAAGTTTGCCAAAGTCATTTTTATTGCTTTATGTTGTCGGCTGTAGTTTTGAAGAAGGAAGATTTACTCTCATGTGATGTAAACCTCTCGTTTTATTATTTCAAGAAGTGAAATGAAAAAATGCATGTTTGAATGATATTATAAGCGTGTTTGATTTTTGCAAATCCACAAAATTCCTCTTCTCTATTACCATCTATTCTTTAATATCTCATGATTTTCTTTTGTTTTTTTTATAGAGACGTGCCTGTTACAACTCAACCAGAAACTAAGAAAGTCATGATATTTGAATTCAATTTTCCATCAAAATCCAAATCTACAACTGAACTGACCGAAACTTCATTGATTTTATTCCATTTCATATTTTACATTATGAATAGAGTGAAAAGGTTGAGACTCAGCAAAGAGGTAATTGTTATTATTAATTCGTGTCAGATTTTTTGTGTCCAGTAAGATAATAATCTTCCAATTTCAGCGTTTTCAACTGTAAGCCTTGATACACTTATTTTGAAGAAAACATTGTGATTAAGACCTCATACTCTTTCCGCAGTTTTCTGATCACAGAGCCCTATCTTGAGACTACTACTAACAAGCCGCTCTTACAGCGCTTTTTTTCACTCTGCGACATCCAACCTTCACTGAAAGTGATCCTGTCAGAGCTCCTGCGGCAAATTGCATCTCCTCATTTCCTGCCTTATTCCCTCAATCCATGATTTGGCAGGGCGTCCTTTACATTTTCTGCCCGGGGGGGGGGACCCAATCCAAAACCTTTTTAGGCAGCCTATTATCTGGCATCCTTTGCACATGCCCATACTAAACAAGCTATTTCGTGAAAATGTCTAGCACTATGTTGTTTTCGACGCCCATAATTTCTTGTAACCTTTCATTCCAAACAAGATCCTTCCTCAAACTCACCTCCACCTATAAAATTTGAAGACGCTGAATAACTTCATCATCCGTTTATTTTTAGTTTAAATTCTTATTTTGAAAATAGTTTACATTTGAGATAGGTGATAAATGTGAAAAAACATTGATAATAGTTTCCACAGAGTGAGCAAGCTTTGAAAACATTTTTAGCATTTCCCTTCTTAAGAGGAATAACAAGGTAACCAACAGATTTTCTACATTGATTTCACTACTTTTTTCAGATTTTATGAAAATAAAATCCTATCTATCATTATGTATGGAAGCAGGCCCGCCACAAGGGGGGAGATACTGGGTCCTTGGTACCGGGGCCCGGGCCCTGGAGGGGCCCGTGACGCAGGTGACAAACCACTACGAATTCATGTGTAACCCTTGTCTCGTAAGGAAAAGTGAAAAAATTACCCTAAAAATTCCGCAAAAGGTGATTAAAGTTTCAAAAACAAGCTAGGGCACTATGAAATTTTTCTTACTTTTTTAGGGATTTCTATCTATTTTCAAGATTTTGAGTATATGTAGAATGATATTTTTAGTAACTGTGTTTAATTTTCTTCCATTGTCGGATGCTATGAGGCTCCTGTCTGGGCATCCTCGACTTCAATGGCTCAACTCACTTGCTATAGACGTGCGAAAGGGGAGTCCAGGGGGGCCCGGCTCCCCCTAGAATTGAAAAGTATCATCTGCCCCCCTCAAAAAAAAATTTATAGATGTTTTGAATGCAACAATTCGAAAATATTTGGTGCTGAAAATAAAAAAAAAGACGTAATTATTCTGCAGAAATTGATGGAAATTCTCCATCATAAGAGCTTCAAAATGCGTCCAAATGGATTTAAAATTTCCAAAATTTCCCGGGGGAGGCCACCCGAACCCCCCCCTTGTGCTCGGGGCCCGGGACAGAAAACTGGTACCAGGGCCCGAGATGGGATGTGGCGGGCCTGTATGGAAGTAATATTTTTGTTCTGTTACAGAGTAAAGCAAAGGCTGACAAAAACAGAGCCAAAGTTGAGGAATCATTTTTGAAATCCACCCACGCAGCCAGAGCAGAGGCTGCAGCAGCCAGAAAGGAGGAGAAGAAAAGACTTGAGAAAGAACGCATCCTTCAGGTATTAATGATGTTATTAGTTATATGAGTCTGACTCTCGAGTTTTCTTAATGGATTTTTCGCATGAAAGCACACCTATTTTGTGATGGAAGAGCGTAAGTCAATTACGAAATGAGCGGTGTTGCTCATGGAACTGCTCACTCACCAGGTCTCAAGCAAAATGAAGTTAAGCCTTTACTTCATATGTCTTGTCTCGTTAAGAACCGGTGAAATGTAAATTATAGTCGTAAACACAACAATAGTTTGGTGTCAATTTTTTGGTATTAACGTATGATGCGTTTTCAATTAGGTTGCAAGGTTCGCATGAAAATACTTAAAGAAAAAAACTTTATGAACCCCTGACTTTCCTCAGCGGCTATTGCAGATTTTAGTCAGTCTACCACAATCAGCTCACCTTACCTATTCTTTTCTTCACTCACTCACAATTTTAACGAAATGATTTTTTGTCTCAGGAGGAGGATCCTTTGAAGCAAAAACGATGGGAAGAGAAAGAACTGAAAAGACAGATGAAAAAGAAGACTCCCAAAATGAAGCAGCTGAAAGTGAAAGCTGTGTAAGATTTTGGTGTTCAAAGTTTGTCTTTACCTCATTCAGGAGGAATGATTTGTTACTTGTTTGTTTTTAATCAGTGTAATGGGTAGCGTAAGAAAGGAGATACGGTTTCTGTGGAACCAGGTAGGCATATTTGTATTCTAATGTAAGTAATTTATTCGGTAGAAGCTTTCCTTGATAGTTTTTCCATGAACTTGACTAAAAAGTCATCATTGTTAAATATGAAGCTCTGTTTTACTATCATGTAGCTCAAAACTTAAGGGGTGGATTGAAAGAGAAGAGGCCTTTTTAGGCCTCACCCTAGCAGCAAATTTTAGGTTTTTGCAAGTTCGCTAATTTTTTCACGACATAATACATATGACATTACATATATGATAGTGATCAAAAAAAAAATGAAAGCTATCCAATTTCCCGAATCATGAAATTTTTTTAAGTAGGCTGTATAATTAATTTGGTCTGTTTATGGAAGTTTGCGGCATCTGTTGCTAAATTGTTCCAACTGTCAAACAATGTCTCACTCAGGTGAAAAGCCCAAAATAAGCCTCGTTTCATTATTGAAGTGCTTTGTTGTTTAGTGGCTTTAAATCATAATGGTCATTTCAAATACTAATCCATTTTAAAATTGGAACATTTTTTAGCATTCTGATGAGGTCAAAGTCTCCCCCTCTTGCTTTGATCACTGAAGTACTCTAGCATTTTTTATTCTTCGAGTACCTTGAAATTCCAACCAATTGAAAAGTAATTGGACTTTGACAATCATGAACAATTCCTTTTTCCTTTTTTTATCTGCACTTCTTCATATAGAAAAAGTCATGAATCATAAGGTTAGTTGTTGTGGTATCAGTGATATTAGTCATCAGTGATTGTCATTTTTCATTTTATTTCTTTTTACCGATCATTTGTCTCGGTATTTAAGTGATCTAAGGAAACTTTATAAAATGAAAAAGTTGAATCTTTGTGGGATCATAATGTTCATTTTTCTTCCAGTTTCGTCAGAGGAACTTGATATTACAGACCACTGATATTAATACATACATAGGACTCTCAGAAGTAATGCATTTCAATGCGTAGGTAATTGAAAAGTCGCAATTCCTAATTATTGCATTTTAGCCTAAGTTACCAATAAAAATTATCACTTTTGGCAGACATTCGAATTGTCTTCATTTTTCAATAATTGTAATTTTATTAGGTAACTTACGAATGTAAGCCAAATGTGTTGTTAGTGCCATTTGTTGAAAGTGATTTATAATCAGTTTGTCTGGCTTATAATAAGAATTTGTATTCACAAATGGAACATCTTGATTTGCTTCATTGCTAGAAGATCAATCACAATTTTTTACATGTTTGTTAGTTGCAAGATATTGCTATCCTCCTTATCATGACTGCACCTCAGGTTTCTAGAAATACTGAATTTAATGTGTCCTTTTGTGTATCAAGGTAATTTTTTTTTGGCAAGTGTCTGTAGCTGTGCACCTGCTCTTAAATATTTGTTTATCTTACAACTAAATCGAATTTATAAACCTAACCTCTTGCAATATATGTAATGACAATCATCTTTCAGCACTAAATTCTGAATCATAGCCTGCTCAAACGCAGGAAATCATTAAAATGCCTTGCTCTAACCTAGCAAGCCACAAAAATCCAAATCACAAGAATTGAAGATCTTTTTTAGTGTTTTTGGGAACATAATTGTTCTGAAAAAGAGAAAACTTTATATCTTTATGATGATAATGATAAAGGCCTCAATGATTTGTCATAATGTACTTTTTACTACGCTGGTATAGAAACTTAGTAAGGCAATTCCAAAGTTTTATACCTGAGAACTATTTTTATTATTAATCACACACCAAGACTTTTTAATTTTTTCTGGTTTAGTTAGAGGATGCATGATAGTTTTGTAATTATGGAATTTTTTCTAGAAAAAAGTACCGCAGGAGCTGTTTAGTATCACGCAGGTAAGTTACCCAGGGGAGGGGACCTGAGCCGGGCTCACAGCGTCTAAAGAGGTGTGGAGTACGTGCTCCCACCTGTAACAAATAATATTTTCCCATACAAACAATTTTTTACGCCAATTTTTCAGGTTTTCTGCGTTGTGGAAAATTTTGGTGAGGAAGTCAGGGGCCAAGCCAGACTCATGTTGTTCAAAAAGGGTGGTGAGATATTATGGTTGGCTCCCCAGGGTTTTGAGGGGGAGAGGTCAAACAGTTGACCAAAATAGCATATGCGTAATACTCAAATGGCTCCACATTGATTACTTAGACCTTGCCCTGTTGCATGAGAAGCAATTTTTTTTTTTTGTATAAAAATTTTGAATCTTTTCTATTATTGCATTTATTTGCATTAATTTTTGTACTATCCTCAACAAAATTTATATTCAATCATTTGAGTTTTATGGAGGAGCTAATTATTGACAGGAGAACAATTAAACAGACCCAAGATACTCTGATGTAACTGATCTACATTTTTTTCTAGTGAATAAAAAAAGTAACAAAAAATTATATTCATGATCAATACAACCTTGGTGATCTTTTGCCTCACCGGTTATTTAGGCACTCCTTTAAAAACTGCTATCTACGTTCTCTAAAGAGGTTCATCCATCTGATTTTTGCTGAATGTTGATGATTTCAATTTACCCTTTTTCCCAATTTTATTATTTTGTATAAGATGTAAATTCACCTCTTGTGTCTGAAAATTAAACTCTTTTGTTACTTTATTTACTGTTATTCCATTACTTTCCCTGGAATAATCTGAGATCATCCAGTAAGTTAGCAATTGTCTCAAACCTTTTACGTCGGTAGTGCCTCAGGAATGTACTTACTCTCCTAAGGTTTGCAACTCATTGAAAAACCCTTGAATGCATTTGAAAATTTCTAAGTTTCTAAATATCTTTAAATTTTGAGAAATCATTAGAGTTTACGCGGAAGTACTTGAATTCTACATCATACAGTTATTACATTTACATTCCTGGAAATTGGTTCTCCCTCCTCGCTTATTGCCATGTACTCTTTCTATCCAACTTTTTTGATGCATTGAAGGTTATACATATGAAGGGTTTTCCCTGATACCTAAATCCTCCTTTTCCTAGAATAATACCTAACTAATTGCAAGCACTCTCCGGAAAAACAAACTTAACAGCTGAGAACGTGAGACTAGTAAGAACAACATAGGAATTTATGTTCACAATATACAGGCAATTCATATTGCCAGAGAGACTGAAGTGCACCTTAAAATCATACCTAAAGGTCTTTTTATTTTGAACTGGCACCAATCAACTTTGATTAAGTTATCCAAAAAAGAATTATCTCATTTACTTAAAGGAAAGAGGTGAAAAGTCAGGTCCATTAGATCAGATAGTGGATCCAGTTTTTGACTCATTAATATATGTAAAAATCGCCTATATGTAGGTATAGCGCACCTGGGCGCTCTGCGACACCTAATCACCATCCTTGTCTAATGAGACAGAGGTCTATAATGTTATTATAAAACTGAAATCCAAGTGTCCATTTCTCATTCAACTTATGATTATGTGGATTAATGGCGCTTGTCATGGCCCCTCAACTTCTTTTTTTTGGGCCACAAACCCACAATGTGGCTCTATAATAAGGAAGTTGAAGTGTCATGACATAGAATAATAGCTACCAGAAAGGTAACCGGCAGATCCTCCTAGCAGAAAGGTAACTGGCAGATCCTCCTAGCTATTATTCTGTGGCCCTTACCCATGATCGTGGATCAGCTCGGAGCATATTTCAAAATTACCCGCCGTTCGAAGAAAACTTGATACTGCTATCTATAGGCAGTTGAGTGAACTAGCTAAAAATTAAGTTTTGACTTACTGCTTCTAGAGTGCGCGCTCAATCAAAACACAAGAAAAATAAACTTTTGCCGCCTCTGCGACGGCGCAACAGCTGATTCAGATTCAGCACTTCGAAGAGGCGAGAGGGTGTACTTTATTTTCTCGTGTTAACCTCATCACAACCAATTTTATCATTTTTTCACCGTGTTTTCAGAAAGTGTTTGCATTTTTGTATTCTCTGAAGCTTCCATCCCTCAGTGCTCTGCACCGACAGTATTTCAGCTCCGGCATTTTTTCAGCGTGCCGGCACCACGCGTATCGTGCTTTCCTCTCGACATTACATACCCTCTTACTTCAAGTATATAAAGTTCTCAAACTTCTAAACCACGGTTGCGTTCGTATATACATTGTGCCGGTTTCGTAACTGTATGCCGTGCGTTGACTCCTAAGTGTTATCATTTTGTGATCGTGTCCATAGTTTTCTCGAATCATGAATGAGGAGGATCTACACTTGGCTAAAGCGATGGTTCGCATGGACCTCCAGGACAGTCCCAGGTTGGCCAAAAAAACTGTGGTGGGCAGAGTTCAAGAAAAAGTTCAAGGCTTCAGGTAAGAACCATAAGTAATAGCATTGTCTTTTGTATGTTATTTTGGCGTCAGCAGCTCTTTCAAACTGCAGTGACGGACACTTTAAGTCAGTACTGAAAGAATAAAAGTTTTCGAAGTAAGGCGTTTTTAACAGTGACCAGTTGCCGCTATCCAGATAACAGCAGTTGGAGCAGATGAAATACATCCATAGGTATCTTGATTTGGTGCATTGTAGAATTCTAAAGGTTGAAATCTAGGTGTCACCCATATTTTTTAAAATGTTTATGCTTTAGGGAAAGTCTTTGTAACTTTTAAACGAAAGGACGATCATTTCTTTTCCACTGAGAAAATAAAATTTAAGTACGTAACTTTTGACTGAAATGTTTTCTACCTTTATTAAGAAGCAAGACAAATTTGTTTGCTGCACGGTGTCAATCTGTGATGTTACATAGCTCATGCTTCTCTTCAATAGTACTAAGGGATGCACATTATTCCAGATCACGTGAAAATTTTTTGCTTGAAATTTTGGAAGCCCTCGCTGATTTTAAAGAAGCGCGATCACACGGAAATATTTCGCGTGAAAGTGTGGAAGCCTCTTAGATTTTGTGGAGGCTTTTTTTTCTCTCTCCTCTCACCTTGAATGTCATGTTTACTTTTAATCAAAACATTGCGGAAAGGTTTCCACAATTTTCACCAATAAGAACATTCGAGAATAGTTTTCACGATTTTCACGGAATTATCGTGGGAAAATTTCCACATTTTTATCAAAGTATTGTGGAAGGGTTTCCGAAATTTCCCACTAAGTGTGGTTTTCCACAATTTTCCACAAAAAGTGGAAGGGTTTTTACAATTTTTGCCGAAATATTGTGTAATAATAGTTTCTCACAGAAGATTGTGGAAGGCTTTTCATAATGACTTTTGACCCAAAAATTGTGGAAGGCTTTCTCAATTTTTGTCACAAAGGTTTTCTACAATTTTCAGATTGTCCTAATTGCAACCAAAAAAAAAAAAAAAGAAAAAGAAACCATACTGAATTGTGGAAGCACATCTTCAACGTTTTGTGGAAGGGGTGGAATTTTTCCCGTGAAAATAAAACGGTAACTTTGATCGATTTGTTTAATTTTCTGGAGCACAATTTCGGCAGTTGATTTTATTTGGTTCAGACACTATAATCTAGCGATCGGCCCAGCCGATCGGCGATCGGGGTAATTAAATTGCCCAGTCATTCGATTCCTTTCTACTGAACGCGGTCCATTTGAAAAACATACACGTGTTTCCAAAAACTTCGTACTGTCTCAGTTTCGTACTGGTGCGCATTAGAGTTCAAAAAATTTAATTTTGACTCTAATTTTAATTTTTGGAATTTTTTGGCTTTGTTTCCGCGCGAAATGGTATGGACCCAGCACCATTTCTCCACCTTGTTACATACAGTTCGGGCCACTTCTTAGTGTTTTTTTTTTTTTTTTTTTTTTTTTTTTTCATTTTTTTCCAAAAAGTAGAGACACTTTTTTTTGACAGGCTTCTCCTTGCTACGTCTCTGATCCTCTACCCCTTCCAAAATTGTTTGAAACTACCTGGTTCTCGTGTGAGTATAATAGTATCTCGCACCTGGTATCAACAGACACGATAACACCTACATGATAGTACCTTTGCAATGGTACCTACTTGCAAGCCGGCGAAAGTGCGCAGAAATCTTCACTGTTTGTCTCGACAGTGTATTTGCCTCTCGCAAGTTTCGAGGAGCAGGCATTACCCAGCCAACCAATAGCTTTTAAAATCGACTTTCACCATTTTATTAGTCGTCGAACGAAGGGATGCGCACCTTCGACGCGGCAGCGATGGGAGAAGCGAGTTCGCGAATGAATAATGCATCAGAGAACCTATCTACCGATGCTCGTTTCGTGGTTTCCCCGAGAACGAACTTGCGTCTATCTATTCTCGTAAAATTACCCGACGATTGTTCCGATTTTAGAGCCGCGGAACCCGGAAATGTAATGTACGAACCTCGGGCGACGCACAGTAGTAGGTCGACTCGGACAAAATTTGGAAACTTTAAAGTTTACAACTCCGTTTATACAAAACCTTAAGGTTTTACAAATGGTTCCATTGGTTTCCTTGTGAAATTTTCTTCCAGAAATATCCCTCAAAATTTAAAATGTGGCGATATAAACGTCAAAATTTGCAATTCCAGTCAAAAATTTGATGTCCAACTTCTCTGATTGACTCTATCAACTGTGCGACGCTTCTCGCCTCGTGGAGGTGGGTGCGCTTACAGAACTTACGAAAACTCTCGTGGAATCAAAGGAAAAGAAGGATCGGCCGCAACAAGATTAAAGAGAATGGCGTATCAGCAGACTTCAAAATCCGTTAACGTCCACTTTTAGGCAATATTTAAATGAATCAGGCGCGTCATTCGGGGAGGGCAGGAAAACGACCGAGACAATTTTTTGCCCCCCCCCTCCCCCTCCAAGATTCAGCTGAAATGACACATTCTTGGAGATACATTCTCTCGTGGAGAGTCTTAAGATCGCTGTTAAGGAATGCTTTGAAAAAATGGTTCCAGAGAAAATAATATTTAAGAAAATTTTTCACGCCCTTCAAAGGTAATGGAATAGCATGAGAATTCAATTTTTTACAATAGTTTCTATAGCATTTGCATATGATCCTAGAGAGCATGCATCGGCGAATGAAGTCTAAAGCAGCATTCCTCAGAAATAGTCGAAACAATGATTTTTTTATAAAATGAAATTCCATGGACAATTTACACGTTCGTGGAGAGTCCGTAAAATTCCTTGATTTTACCGATTAGACTCCTCGGCAAATCCCAATTGGAAGTCTTGGATTTTAGTTTTGGAAATCAGCCATGAATCCTAAGCCACAAAAAAATTCTCCGCTCCCAAATTCGATTCCTGAGATCTCTGCATTCAATTCCGAATCACCCCGTATCAACCGGAGCTTTTTCCTCAATGACGGTCCTGTTAGCTAGCTAGCTACCTTGCATACCAAGGCGACCAGTGGACGCTCGGATTTTTGACGAATCTGATGGACTGTCATTCACCTGACGATGAGGATGGTCTCTCGAGCCGGAAGGCGCGTCTCCATTTTGCGGAAAAACGACGTATGAGCATTCGAATGTCGCCAAATTTTCTTTCAGAAAACGTGTATTTTCGAGGAAAGTTATGAATATTTTTCCTTTAAATTTTCAGACACTCGAGGTAAAATTTCGAACGAAATTCTCAGGAAAACCAGGAGAAAAGTATTCAAAATTCGCTCGAAAATCCCTGATTAATCCGATGAAATTTGGCCACGCTCAAAAGCTCATACGGCGTTCC